CATGCTCCACTGCACTCCCACTCCGTATCCGCGTAGCTGGCAACAGGCTAGTTCTAGTTGGTTTGGACTTTAGTTTGCTGCACTGTCATCATCATTTTACCCCCAAATTTCCAGCTCTCCACTCAGAGCTCTACCATTAGCATGATCATGGGACAGTCATGGTCATAGGACTAATTAATAGGCCTATGTCCTAAAGGGTAGGCCTAATGCGCCTGTCAAATGTCCGCCCCCCCCCCCCTGCCTTATAGCCCCAGGTACGGTCCGATGTCGGGATTTGGTCACGTTTTTCATGCCCCAGGGTGGGGATTTTGGTCACTCAAATTACATTGTTACCATGGCGTACTACATGGAAATGCATAGTGCGCCCCACGTACGTAGGCCTATGTTGGGGCATGGTCGGGATTTCGCCCGAGGGGTGGGGATTTTGTCACTTCAATTTCAAAAGTGACAATCCCCACGTCTTGGGTGGGGCAACCTAGTACTTCTGAAATCAGAAGGCTTCTCTCCGTCAGCTGACGGATGTGACGGAGAGAAGCCTTCTGATTCCAGAAGTAGGCCCCAAGTCTGTAAGTAGGGCAGCCCGGCTCCCGGGGGCAATGCCAATGGGGGGGGGGGATAGGCGCATTAGGAAAACATGGAAAAGACTCACCAAAACAGCTGACTAATGACACTCAAAAGTGACATTCTGATATTTCTTGACACCTTTGGAACAGTTGGCAAATGACACCTTCTTGAATATCGGCAGGTTTAATTAAATTTTACAATTTAAAAAAAATTGCCGCACAACTTACAAGGCCTCTCCGTATCGCACGTACCATGGAGCTATAAACACACAGTCATGGTCATGTGCATGCATCAATTTCATATCCAAAAGAGGGCGCGCTACACAAACACTGGTCACGGAGAAATGAGACAACGTGCCGCGGGTGCACTGAACCAATGCTAGCCCGACTGCGTCTGGCCGTACAGTACTATCGCAAGCTCTGTAGTACGGCCAGACGCCCGATGCTTCCACAGAGACTGAATTTTGTTGGCCGCCGATGTAGCGATTTTGCTACATCTTTCGATCGCGATTATCTTTTCATCCAGGACCCAAATTTCCAAAGTAAAGGTTCGTAGTCGTAGAGCAACTCATACCTTTTTGAAAAAACGTTGTTTGGTCTGAATATTTTCATCCATCTGGCCACAAGACGAATTTCAGTCATCAGATTCCACAAATATCGTCCCCCATGCGATCCCCCATGCGATTTCAAAATGGCGGCCGCGCTGTAATGTTGCAATATGCAGGCGCGCCCGCGCAAACTCATGAATATGCATAACAGTCTGTGACGTATGACCTCGTGTTTTTGGACGTACGGCCCCGCCGCACGCACGTCCAAAAACACGAGGTCATACGTCACAGACTGTTATGCATATTCATGAGTTTGCGCGGGCGCGCCTGCATATTGCATACATTACAGCGCGGCCGCCATTTTGAAATCGCATGGGGGATCGCATGGGGGACGATATTTGTGGAATCTGATGACTGAAATTCGTCTTGTGGCCAGATGGATGAAAATATTCAGACCAAACAACGTTTTTTCGAAAAGGTATGAGTTGCTCTACGACTACGAACCTTAACTTTGGAAATTTGGGTCCTGGATGAAAAGATAATCGCGATCGAAAGATGTAGCAAAATCGCTACATCGGCGGCCAACAAAATTCAGTCTCTGTGGAAGCATCGGGCGTCTGGCCGTACTACAGAGCTTGCGCTAGTACTGTACGGCCCGACGCAGTCGGGCTAAACCAATGCAAGCCCCATTGAAAACAGTGTAAAATCAACAAAGTTCACTAGGGCCAAATAACATGCAAGCCGACATCACTGGGGTTTCTCAAACAAAAATTAAATTATTGTCTTGTACTTCATCTTTTCTTTTCTTTTCAATTTTGGGTAGACTAGCCGATTGCATTTTTAAATATTCACACCAAAACGAAATCACCTCCCGAAAAGTGATAGTTCCCAAGCCTGCATGTAGCCGTTTTACAAGTGGCATCCTTCCACTTTCTCAGGCAAATAGGCAAGGGCGGATCCAGGGGGGGGGGGGCCAAAGGGGGCCATGGGCCCATGCCCCCCCCCCCCTAAAACGAAACCAATTTTTTTTTTTTTTTATGTAACATCGCAATAAAGGCAGGCAATGAGTACACCACCATCTTTTCCTCAAAAAAACCTTTGGTCAAAGTGGTCAGAAATTGCCTCAGATCGCACCACAGAGCATCTAGAATCCAAAAAATTGTCGGGGCCCTTAAGCGGGCCCCGAACCCCACGCCGTAATTTTTTGACCCACTTTTTGGGGGGACCAAATTTTTTTTTGGGCCCCCCCTAAAATTGTGTTCTGGATCCGCCCTTGCAAATAGGACCCATTTTTTAACCGTAATTTTATCAAGCCTGCCCTCAGACGGAAGCCCAAAAACCAGGGAGTTGATCCTTGGCTACATTTACACAATTCCACCGTTTTTAAAGCCAAAAGATTTTGGGGAAAATGAACACGTCACCACTCGCCACAGTTGGGCCTGCCCAACTTATTAGTTGGGACAGTTGCTCTAGCTGGGACTACACCGCCGGTGTGACAACTAAACGGGCTACTGAACTTGGGGCGTGGTTGGGGAGGCATACCCCTCCGACCATGCCGACTGATGAATGTTAATTACTTACGTAATGGGAAGCAATTTCCTTTAAAAGTTCCATTAATTATGTCATCGCTATATTGATTGTATATCGATCCATTACCTGCAGCCTTCGATCCCTCTCCCATAGAAAATCTGGGATCCGCCCTTGCAAAAAGTTGCGATTGACGAGCAAAACATTCACAATCTCCAAACTTTTGACAGTTTAATTCACGAAGTTTATATTTGCAGAATTGCGATACTTCATACCTTGAAATTGATTTTACATAGATATTTCTTCGTAAAATTAAACCATCGTCCTTTCATCATCCGTACACCAAAATGCTTTTAAATTGCATTCCTGTATAGTAGGGCCTATTATTTTCGATTTTAACCCCCAAAATTACATTTTCTTTTAAGATGGTATTTCCTTAAATACAAAAGTTTTCCACTCGAACGACAAGACCCCGGCTCCTATGATGTTTAGTTATGGAATAAATCCTGCACAGGTTTCATTTGCACAGGCCAGTAATACTTGCGGATTCTCTTGTACCTTTTCAATAAAAAGCCTGAAACACTACTTAAAAACCCTGAAACTACCCTTACCCCCTTTCAAAAATGTGTTTTCTGGATGTTTCAGCACTTTTAATTTGTCACGTTTTGAAAAAAAACACACCCGAATTCAAGTTTAAACCTGAATAGTGGCACTGATATCTGCTTTACAAACAAAAGCCTTTTTCCCCCAAAAAGTTGCCCAAACAAAAGTAGGCCCACCGTTTTTGTTAACATTATAAACATTAGAAATTTCGTTAAAAGAAAAAATGTTAATCGAATTTTGTTGAATTTGTTGAAAAACAACTACTACAAAAAGCAGCCAAAACTTTACATATGAAAGTAATAAAAAGGTCAACCATTTTTAGAAATCTCAAGCTTTTATTATTATTAATTACGCCTTTTTAATTATGCTTATAAATCAAGATTATCAAGCTCGATACGTACACTGGATAAATTCAAATATGGGAATAAGATAATTAATGAAATTAATATTAATAACTTTCTTTCTTTTTTATATTCCATGATAAAATTCTACGCACTCTAAAAAAGCTTTGCTTGAATTATGTCATTACTTGAATATAAAAAGCAATTTGATAATTTTAATGTAGTAAAGTTACCGCTCTATAAAATGTCTGCGCAAATTCTCAATAAATTGTGCAAATAAAATAAAACTTTGTTTCATTATCTAAAGTTTACATAAATTACAGTTGTCCAATAATATACCAGTTTTTCAATTTCAGAGGTATTCAAAGGTCAATACAAATTAGTCAAATATCATTTTAAAGTTGTGGCTGTTTAAAATGTGTGCACATATTCTCAGCAGATAGTTATGCAAATAAAATTAAAACCATGTTCGTGATCTAACGATTACATAAATAACAGTTGTCCAATTATATTTCAAAAGTATTCAAAGGGCAATATCACAAAACAACGATAGCCAAATAACTGAGAATAAAAAAAATCCCTCACACCCAACTTGAAAATAAACAGTTGTTTGAGCAAGAATTTTTTTTTTTACATGTTCCAATACATGATTGTGCTTAGCACTACATTTTAAAAGTTTCTAATCTAAAATATATAGAGCATTTTTACTTTTATATTTTCACCAAATGTGTGAATATACATCTAAATTAAAATATATCAAGGAGTATTTAAAAAAAAAAACTTCAGTTTTCACACTGAATACAAGCGACAAATATCGAACGGCATTAATCAATATTCATATGAAACATTTCAAGCGCAGTCACAGTCACAAAATTATCAAAGTGAAACAAACTTTAATGAAATTTTGGGCAATGTGTCCTAAGTTACGAGTCACATAATTAAAGATATAGTCCATCATTTGTTATTTGTGCATTTTGTTCGTTTGAAGCAACAAAAGTGCTCAAAATCTAAAGAAGGGTACTGAACAACTAACCTGATGAAGTTTCAGCTCAGCTTCAGCTGTATATTCCGAGAAAAACAGCATTCTAGGATCTCAATTTCAAATCAAAAGTTGCTGAATCATGTTTTGAATTGGGCCTGAATTCAGCGTCCGAGACACGTTCTCACTGAGCCAATTGCAGCTACGCGATGTCGCGCACTGATCCGACGAATTATATCAACCGCACGTGCGTGTGCGTCGTGCCAATGCTTGCGCGCGCTTCGCCGAATAACAAAACGAACTACTAATTTAAATTTCCTACAGTGCGTCTTAAGACGCACCGTTGGAAAGACCTTCTTTCGTTGATTACTTCAAAATGACAGCTTGCCAGAAAGAATAATTTCACAGGGAGTTTAGTCTCCTTACTATCTTTCAACCAAGTATGTTTTTCAACAATAATTACGCCAGTTACTTTTCGGGTAGCTTCAAATGATGGACTATAGCTTTAACACAGTGAAACGTTCGTGACATGTTGAGCGCTGTGAAATGATGCAGTACATTGTGGCTTCTGTAGAGTTACATGTACACCAACACAAACCTGAGTTGCAATGAAGAATAATCTTTAATTCTTTTTTTCTTTGGTGAAAGTTAGAGACTGGCCAAAACGTCGTCGAATCTCTCCAAACAGATATCGGCGTGGTGTGGCTGGAAGACTAGAGCTGGCCGGAATCGGATCGACTGCTTGCCACTGAGTCCCATGATGACTCCTGTGAATGGAAGACACCCACATTTTTTTTGTTTAAAGGGAAAATACAACATTTGCAAACATCAAAAAATGAAATGATCAAATTATCACGAAATACCTTGCCGAATTGTTAGGGACTGACAGTCTAAAACATCCTTTAAAATCTTGGCTTCTGGTGTGCTGACATTTTCAAGAAAAACTGTATTTTTCCAACGCGTTGGAGAAAACTGGCTTTTTTCAAAAACTGTTCTTAATTTTTCATATTAATTTTTTTCTGACTTTTCTTTGCAATTGATTACACACCTGTGAAGGGGTACAAGCCTGCTAGACTGATTCTCTGACCTTACAATTCCCCAAAGTGTATTAATTACTCCATTTCATCTTAAGTGGCGTCAGGGAACCAGACTACAAGAACATGATAGGTTTTCTTGCTTTTATAAGCCCAAAACGTGATACAAGTCAGTTTAACAATATTTTCTATAAATACTAATCCTCCAAATCCATTTGTTTCTGAAAATTGAAGCAAAAGCAAATGTTGTACATTCCCTTTAAATAAAGTTGAACAAAGAAACTGACTAGAGCTGGGCTTGAACCTGCGACCTCCGGATTGCCGTCCCAGTGTTCTACCAACTGAGCTATTAAACCCTATTTTCGAAGTTTCCAAATAAGCGAGTTCGGTATTCCAACTGCGCATGTGCACATCAAGATTTGTCGATTTTTCTTTTAGGATAAAAATTTCATCGTATGCGTGCAAAAGCATAGCGGGGTACCAGCAAAATTGAAGAGATCATCGTGTTCCGAAGTATAACATTTTGCGAAAAACCTTTGGACAGCGAAGTGTTTTTAGGTCTCTTGCCTCTTGTCCAAACTTTTGTGGGAACGAAAGTTGCATCTCTGTTCGATGGCACGAAAAATTACACAGAATGCAGATTTGGTTACCATGTCCCCATAGCCTTGTGTGCATTATCTTCTGCAGTTATCCCGAAAAACAAATTGTCGAATCTTGCTGTGCACCAGACTATTTTGGAACACTGAACTGGCTTACAGTATTTGCTAGTGTCTTTGTTCAAGGAAACTATAGTCAGAAGCCATAAAGCTGTAAAAAAAAAATTAAGTGGTTTGGGTTCGTGACTCATGATCAGAGGGTCAGGGTTTGAATCCAGCTGCTGGTCGTATGTTGTGAAATGTTGCTTTTGTTTAATCGGTTCGGGACCACATCTCTCTAAAAAAATTTAATGAAAGCCTAACTAAAAACGAAATTTGGGTAAAACAGTGTTCTCAAAATTTGATGTTTATTTCCTGGGTGAATACTTCATCTATGACGACAAAAACTGCACAATACCATCTGTTATATCCTTAAGTATTTATTTTTTAACAATTTTGGAACAATTCTAACTACATAAGAAGTAGCTTTGCTTACAGTTTTGTGAATATTTCCGTTTTAGATGTCATGCAAAAAACTGACACAATGGCACACCTGGAAAATTCGCGATTACAAGCCAACAGGTATAAATGGCCGTTATGATTATCACGCATCTAACCAATTAAGGCAAGTTCGCTCAGTGCATTTTGTACTAGAGCTCAGACCAGTTGTTTATCGTTGTGTGTAGGATCTGGTGCTTGATGTGAAGTTGTAGCTTTCTACTAGTTGGTGGTCACAACAATTACATTTTAACCCTGTAGCACCTGGTACTACGTTTTATTTCATCACTGATAAATCAATAAAACCATAGAGTGCTTGGGCGGTTTTGGGCGATACCGAGAGTAACAGGCAGGACGGCTTGGCGGCAGTACAGGGACTAAAGTTTAAGGACTTGAGTGTAAGGCCAAAAAAAAAAGTCTCCGGTTTCTGGTATGGAGCTTGTCCAAAAAGTGGTGCGGCGACGCGGCTTTTTTTTTTTTTTACCTGACTTTTTTGCTTCAAATGTCGGCTGATGACTGCAAATGGTGCCCGACTAAACTTAGTGCAAATATATGGGAGTCCAGAGAGGCCACATAAAGCTTATTCTCGATCATAACCCCATCTAAAAACACGTTAAAATTGTGCAGCAGCAGGATTCCAGTCAAACCAGTGAGTTTGGCGGTTTTGAGACATCATATTTCATTGAAAAAAAACTTTTTCATTTTGCTGACGCGCATGGCTATGGCGACGCGCGCGCATACCAGAAACCGGAGACTTTTTTTTTGGCCTAAGTAGCCTTTGACTCTAGTCCAGTTTCACTGCCCCTCTCAGAGATGCCACTTTTCCGGTTTAAGCCGGAATTCCGTTTTGTTTTTAAAATCTCACAAAATTCTAGTTTTTCCGGCCGCCAAAATAAACTGGCAAAAGAGAAGAAAAACTGTAGAAATGCGTTGATTTTGACCTCGTTAGCGCCCTCGAGTTAAGTACAATTAGGCTCATGCACGACTGGCACAACGTCGCATTGTTCATTGAAGTAGTCTTAAAAACAAGTCTTTGTTGTTACCAAGCATGCATGCGAAACAGGCGGCCAACATACTTGCACGCAGTATATACCGCGCCTCGCGCGTGCTTCACCGCGTGGGGGCATGTTGTGTGCTCAGCACAAGTAGCATTCAGCCTGGAAATCAAGTCTATCGTTTCAGTTATCGGTGGTTTCCGATCGCAGTGGTATATGTGAATACAAAAAACGCCGGGCGCCAACCATGTTTTCGTCGTGCGCATTGTGTGGTGCAAAGGTCATGTACACCGACAGTTTTGTGGAATCATGCATGTTTCGTGTCGAATATTACGTTGGAAATTCGGATAGGCAAAATAAATATTAGAAATTATGGAAAAAAGTCAAAGTGATTGAACGAACCGATAGTTTAAAGGCCACAGAAGCAAAAATAAAACATAAATGGAACTGGGCTTGGCTAGAAGAGAGAGATGACAACGGGGACTTTGTTTTTACAAAAAATAAAGTCCGTTTTTTTCAAGCAGCTGTTCCGTTTTTTTTTCAAGCAGACCCAGTTCCCGTTTTTCAAGCAGACCCTGTGGCATCTCTGCCCAGCCTCTAAGCCACCCATGCAATATAGAGGATACGGCAACCCACCTTTCTCCCGGACCAGGCTCGCAATCTTGGCTGCAGACTCAGTATCTTTGCCGTCCACTGCAATGTGAGTACCCATGCCCCGGGCTCTGCTCAAGTGCTGTGGGTACCTAGCCTACAAACAATGCAACAGAAAACCGAAAAATAAGCCGGAACTGAAGCTTTTAAGGTATATTCGATCATTAACACTTAGTCCATTTTTTCCACTTCCGGCAAAACAAACTTACTCAAATCAGACTTGAATTCAAGTCACCAAACATCGAGTCCGAGTCCGAGTCACCTCTCTCGAGTCCGAGTCCTGAGTCATGCAGGTCAAGTCTGAGTCCGAGTCAGGGGTCATAAAGGTCGAATCCAAGTCCGAGTCACAAGTCACCTTTACTACTATACATGTATATTGGAAAACATTTTGCGGTACTGCTAAAACCTGGCAGCTGTGTATGCACAGTGCTTAGATGTGTCTCTCCTGCTCCGCACTGACTGTATGGCTCAAAAAGGAAAGGATCGTCTTCAAAATGTAATGTGTTGAGTTGAAAGAAATAAGTGGTTTGTGGTAATTTTGGTCGAGTCCCGAGTCACGAAGGTCGAGTCTGAGTCCGAGTCCGAGTCTGCAGGGTCAAGTTCACATCAGAGTCATTTGTCATCGTGACTCAAGTTCCAGTTTTCAGAGAAAATGGGAATCAAGTCGGACTCGAGTCTGGGTCACCAGTCACACAACTCCGCAACTAATGTGTTGAACTTTCAGCTCAGTGGACGTAACACATTTTGAGAATACAAGAGAAAACAGAGAAATACGCATGCTCACAATACCATTCTCCTTCGCGTCAGCATCACGGGGGAGTGAAATTGGCGCAAACATTTTGATCCCGCTGAAAGTTCATTAAACTGCTTGAACTGCTTTAACCTGGCCCATTACTCCAGATGCTTTAAGGTTTGTACAGATGTATTAAGTTCGGCGTTTAGAGTAATTGCAGTGGTGTAGACGAGCTATTGCCGCACTCGACTAGGCTTGGCGCGGCAGAAGCGCGACGTCTAGAACAGGCCTCAGGACGCCATTTTTGGGTACAGACAATGGAAGTATTTGGCAATTTTACTTCAATCCTAAAATCAAAGATTGCCAAAACGCACTTTTGAATTGTAGCAACATGTGAACTTAAAAACAGTAACCTGAAATTCACGTTGCATTACCGGACCGAGCCCAGTCTAATGTGGCTTTCGCGAACCCGAGATTCCCGGGTTCGCATTCATGAGCACCCTACTGAGATAATGGCTTCTCAATCAGTTAACGACCATAAATATGTTTGCACATACGGTGGGAGTACATGGTTTGTCTTTGATCAAACCATGGAGCCTTTTTTTATAGCTCCATGATCATACAGTCAGGCTATCCCCAATGTGTGTGTGTCGTTGTCCAGAGCCACCTGCCTCCCATCAGAATTTGAGTGACGAGTGACGAGTGACAATCCAGTTAAATGCTGGAAAGCTGCCGACATCTAACAAAGCCACATTAGACTGGACTCAAGATTGTACGCCCAAAATGGCGTTACTAAAGCGCCCTCATGTGACACTACTGCAAAGTTGCCTGCCCCTAGTACAAACCTGTAGGTCTTTGATGCCATCCATCATGTACTGACCGGACTCCCTAGCCTGGCCCACCAGATCCATCTCCTGGATGACCTTAATGATGGCGCCGAGCATCAAGAGTTTAGGGGGGTCACCCATCCAGGTGTTGAAGATCCTACTGGGCTGTGGAGTGGGACAACAAGCGTGAATCGGTTAGTGGCTCTGTGCGGGAACTGCTGAGGGCGCTATTTGGACTATTCGTGACCATATTATTCCAATCCTAGGTACAATATTGATGCATATTATTCCAGCTAATGCAAGTACGCATTTGTACTCCTGGGAGGTGAGAGGCAAGTGGAGGTGAAATAGCCTGCCCAAGGACACAATGTACGGCCAGTGACAGGATTCGAACCACTGACCCTCTGATCATGAGCAGAGATGAAACTGGCCTACGAAAAAAAAAATTGGAAAATGGGCCGAACAAAAATCTGTGTTCGAAATCTGGGCTTTGTGCATGATGTACATGTAATGATGTATGTACAATAAACTTAGTGCCCAATTTCCGGACGCTGCCTCCCGTTCTATTTTAGATCAAAACAAATTTTTACGATATGAAAAATATTCAGTGCTTTGAAGTCTGAATTAAGGTTAGAGTGACTGACTCATCAATAAACAAGTTCACTTCTTTTCTTACTATAGAAAGTCGAGGAAAAACTTTAAGCATGATCCAACTCCAAGACAAGAGCAATATTCAATCAATTCAAACAGCTTCACTAACATACGTGGAAAGAAAATCGGCATTATGTTTTTTTTTTTTTACTTCCAACACCCGTCAATGTTCTGTGTCTTTTATGATCTCTTCACCATTCCCGAGATCATCATCGTGATTTTCAAAGCAATGCATTTTGTACAACTAAATCTGAAACCTCCGAAAAATAACGCAACCTTCTGGATTTCACTGCGGTCGAACTCCAGGTGCAATATGAAGCTCTGTGCGTAGTTTCAGACATGTCCTAGGTTAGCGCTTAAACTTATTTCAAGCTGTAAACTACTCCAATCCGGGCTTACTTATGTGCGTCTACCATACAATCTGTGCGCTGATGACTGGTAGAAAGGTTAATGCTTAAACTTATTTCCAGCTGTAAACTACTCCAATCTGAACTTACTTATGTGCATCTACCATACAATCTGTGCGCTGATGACTGGTAGAAAGGTTAATGCTTAAACTTATTTCCAGCTGTAAACTACTCCAATCTGGACTTACTTATGTGTGTCTACCATGCAATCTGAGCACTGACGACCGGTTAAAAGGTTAATGCTTAAACTTATTTCCAGCTGTAAACTACTCCAATCTGGACTTACTTATGTGCGTCTACCATACAATCTGTGCGAAGACGTCTGGTAGAAAGGACTAAAATTGCGCTCGCAATACAGATTTCACTGCGCCGTTTCATAAGATTTTGCGGGAAAACTATCGTCAGAAGAATCGGAAATAAACTTGAAAAAGTCGGATTTCCGATTAAAATTGGAAAGTTCCATCTCTGGGGCAAACGAGGGGCAAACCCTTACCACTAGGCCACACTCCCGCAACAATGATGACCGACAATCTGTAAAAAAAAAATATGACAATCGACAGTCGGTTTTGGACTCAAGACTCACTCACCGCGTCCACGGCAAATTCATCCTTGAAGTAGTAGCCACCAGACAGCATCTTCTTGCTGAAGGTGACAAAGTCTGGCGGCTCCGGCAGACCCCACGCTTCGTGGGCCCAGAAATGGCCGGAGGTCCCGCAACCAGTCTGAACCTCGTCCAAAACAAGCGCAACGCCGTGCTGCAATTAGAATAGTTAAGAAATTTTTTTTTGGGGGGGGGAAACACTAATGATTAAAAAAAACACAAGTGTCATCAAATGTATCGTAAGCTTATTGTGCAGCTTCGCAACAAATTCATTGTGTAAGTCCTACGCATGGCGCAAATTATGCACTGTTTCGTGAAATCAGCTGCAGGCACTTTACAGTTAATACCTCTTTGCATATCGCCTGAAGCTGACGGAAGAAGTCAGCACTGGCAAGATTGTCGCCACCTTCGCCCTGAATGGGCTCCACGATGACTGCTGCCACGTCCCGACCCCGAACTTTGTTCTCCTCAATCGATCTGATCACCTGTTTAAAAACATGGCAGGAAATATCAACTAGAGATGCTTTGTCTGTTCACAACAGAACATATGGCCGTTTTGCATAAATGCTAAGTTATTACTTACATTTTGTCATTGTGGTCTTGGTTTGTACAATGTACCAAGTTTGAAATCAATTCGATGAAAGGAACTGTACAATTTTGAAAGATTTGATTTGTTTCAAATTTAAAAAATCATAAAAAATCAACCAATGACGTCATTGTGACGTCACTTCGGACTTTGCATACAGTACCATTATCTACCTACCCACCAAGTTGCATGATGATCGGACCTTCCCTTATGTGTGTTTAAGACAGACAACCAAAGGACATAGAGATATCTCTTCCACAGACAAACAGACAACCATAGGACAGACAGATATCCCTTCCACAGACAAACAGACAACCAAAGGACAGACAGATCTCACTACCATTATACCTCTTGGAGACATCTGCTCTCCTCCGCTTTATTCTCCGAGACGAAATCCTCCAGTGGGTAGTTCAGTCTAGGGAAGGGAGCAACCGGCCAACCCAGGGATGGAAAATCCAGACGGAAGATGGGTTTGGAATTAGTCATAGACAGGCAACCTGTGTATCAGGTCAAAGGAATATGGCAATGAAAACAACGTAAAAAAAAAAGACCTTTCTTAAAAAAGAAATCAACTTTAAAACGCCAATGAAGTATGACTTCTTTTTTTTTTCTACTTATTTTTTTTCAAGCAGATACCTTTATGCATATATACAGGGCACAAAGTAAAAAAAAATGACCTTTCTTAAAAACGAAATCAATTTTGAAACGCCAATGAAGTACGACTTATTTTTTTCTACTTGTTTTTTCAAGCAGATACCTTTATGCATATATACAGGGCACAAAGTAAAAAGAAGAAGACCTTTCTTCAAAAAGAAATCAATTTTGAAACGCCAATGAAGTATGTCTTAAAAGAGCATGTTCTTCCACTCATCTGAAAAGAAAAACAAATAACTGAAATTGATCCATGTCGTCAGATGTTAAGCATGTGTTCCTGAAAGAGCCTATTTTTTTATAGCTGTCTGTAGAATGCCATTGGAAGCTATTGAGCCGAGTGAGAATTACAGATTATACACAGGCATTCAAATACATGGAATTTTATCATTTTATTCATTAGAGTCAAGACTTAAACATCATTCTTACTGTCAGATTTCGTGATTTGAATACAAGGAACAAGTCAAGTATTTTTTTTCCCCCTGAAATTTTGACGGCGATTTTTGTCTGTTTTCCTTTGCAAGTTTTGGTTCATGCATGGAGTTGGGAAAACATCCATTTTCCATTGTATTTAACATATTCATCAGTTCGTAAAATGGTAAATGATCAGTGGTGGACAGCTGAATTTTGTGATCTTTTCATTAAAAAAGATTTAACTTGTGAACATAACATGCAAATTACGTGAAATTGTCAGTTACTAGTTAATAATTTTCATGGTAAATCCAGAAAACAGTTGTTTTTATCTACTGAGGGGGGGGGGCCCCCCAATTTTTTTCTTCCAGAAAAAGTGGGTCCAAACATTTTTTGCTCCAAATTTATTATGAAAAGCAAGGGGAGGGGATGCAAATGTATTGTTTTTGTTGTGTTTTGTGAGTAGTGTACACAATGGCTGCCTTTTTTTCCCCAAACCCCTCCCGAAGTATCCGTGCATGCATTAGTAGTAATTTTGTCCCCACTTTTTTAAAACTTACCAAGTGTGCGTCCATGAAAGGAACCGGTAAAAGACAGAACAGTGTAGGGTGGGCAGCCTGGTTCCTGAGGAATGGGGAGAAATAAAACAGAATTAAAAACTACTGACTGAACAAAGAACATGGTTGACTACTCCGGCGACTACAATCAAGGCACATCATTGTTAGGTGGTACTAAGAGTGGTAGTCAAGTCAACAACAGACCTTGGGGTAAACTGGAGCATGTCCCAGTTGTTTTCTTTAGCTTGTGTCACACACAAAAAGGAAGGCATCATTTGTTTTAAGGTCAGTTTCAAATATTTTGGTTTCACATATCCAAACCGAATAGTGGAATCAAGCCGAATTTAAAAAAAATCCAGATTTGACAACAACCGAGCAAGCTTACACTCATTTTAGCACAAATTTATTGAAACCAAAAGAAAAGCAACAGCTTTCTCGTCTTGGATATTTTTACCTTGCCTGTCACACACGAGTCCATCTCTTCCTGTGTTGCTGGCCCTCCTCTTTTCTTTCGCTGTTGGCAAAATCGTCCAAATATATTTGTTAACCCTAACTCCTTGGGTATTTTTACTAGAAAGAATCCTGAATCCACCAAAATCCATCAATTTTGCCATGCAAAAACATGTTGGTGGCCAGTGAGTCCATCGGAATCCACCAGTTAGCCGGAAGTAAATCTGTTGAGATCCTGAATCCATCAAAGTCCACCAACAGCTCAATATGGAGGTATCCTGAATCCATCAAAATCCTGCAGTACCACTAGGCTTCATGTCCTGAATCCATCAAAATCCCCCAACTTGTTCAATATGGAGGTATCCTGATTCCGCCGAAATTCTCCAAAACAGGGGTGTGGATATTGATGGATTCAGGTACGTTAGGGTTACAGAACAACTCTAAGGAAAACAAATTGAATTTTTTTAAATTTTTTTTAACAAATCAATCAAACTGTAAACTAACGCAGCACACATGGAAAGACTTCCCAGCATTTTATGAAAACAAATTTCCCTGAGTTTTCCCGCTACTTTCCTGAGAGATTTCCAAAATTCCATGAGAAATGTTTTCACTTTAACGAGGTTGCTGGGAAGTCCAGAGGTGCATGCAGCACAGCCAGTTAAAAAATAAAACTCCAGCACAGCTGGCTGGGAACCTTGATGCAACAGTTTCAAAGGCACTTTCCTAAAAGACAATATTGCAATTAAAATGATTGTCCAAAAAATAAGCTATCAAAGTACAATTTACAACAAAACTTTGCACCTTCTTACCCGATACGTCAGGAAAGCTTGCTTAATAGCGTTCTCATTTGAACAAGCCCCGCACATCATCGGCTGGACCTTGGTTAAGCCCTTGGGAGCACACTGTTGCAAAACAGGACAAAAATGTCAACGAAGAGCAATTGTTATCTTTATCATCCACAAATACTAAGGGAAATGACATCAACGACTACTGGCATCCACCTTACAAAATGATTCACTTTAGATCTTTGTACTTTCTACTTATTTTTTTTTTCAAGCAGATACCTTTATGCATAAATACAGAGCACAAATTATTCAAACGTCAAGCACAAGTCAAATCACAAACCAAATACATGACTTGTTTTTGCAAAGTGCAGTCTCATTTTCGTTCCAAGATGGCACTTGCACTCAGTGAGCGAATAAGTCTGGTACCTTTGGTAAACTTACAATTCTAGCATACAACTTTAGATTGGCCGACTTACCTGCATGAAAGCCTGGTCCAGCATGTCAGGAAATGTTTCCCCTGGAAAGACTCCGAGCGCAGGCCTATTCACCATGGCATGCTGTAAATTGAACAAAGGTGAAAGTCAAGACTCAATACAACTTGTATTCATTTCCCTGGGTGGAAAACTATAATTTTAAACAGCAACAAAAAGAGGCGGAACCACTACTGATGCAATTCAAACAGTGCTCCAAAATAGTATCCTCCTTTTGTTTGATCAGTCACAGGCAGTCCAATATTCATCCTGCCATGACTTTTAGGCACGCTCATCACCAACAGTCAGATCATATTTCTATAGGCACAGTGACTAGTCGAATTCAGTCAACAGACAAAAGCAGGCGACTGGTAGGCACAGCTGGCTTATCAATCTCCTACAGTCAAAGCAATAGCTGTAGCAAGTTACATCACAATCACAGCCAGTCAAACATGCTTTATGTGAGAAGGGAGCACTCAATTGTTTTAAAACAGTCACGATTTCACTGCTCGGTTGTCTGTGCTGAATTTGCCATCCAGAGAGGGAGGGTGAATTAATCAATCTTCACAGTTTTTAAGCTCTGGTCCATCCATCGGTCCCCCAAAAAAATTGACTAAAAATGAACCCCCTAAGGGTCCCACAAAACTGTCAGTACCAAATTGTAATTGTCCCCAAAAAACAAACAAAATACATGAATAGTTGACAATAATTGTTTGTGGCAATTCGTAAATTTGTTTATGAAAATTGTTGGAATGGAAGCACGATAATGTGGTCATGTTACAGTCACGTGACATGTTATGCGTTAGGAAGTTAGGGGGCTTCTAAACACCTATCACTAAGGCCAAAAAAAAAAAGTCTCCGGTTTCTGGTATGCGCGCGCGTCGCCGTAGCCATGCGCGTCGGCAAAATGAAAAATTTTTTTTCAATGAAAGATGATGTCTCAAAACCGCCCAACTCACTGATTTGACTGGAATCCTGCTGCTGCACAATTTTAACGTGTTTTTAGATGGGGTTATGATCGAGAATAAGCTTTTATGTGGCCTCTCTGGTCTCCCATAATATTTGCACTAAGTTTAGTCGGGCACCATTTGCAGTCATCAGCCGACATTTGAATAAAAAAAAACAGGTAAAAAAAAAAAAAAAAAGCCGCGTCGCCGCACCACTTTTTGGGCAAGCTCCATACCAGAAACCGGAGACTTTTTTTTTTGGGCCTAATCCATCACCCCTGTTTCTGGACCTGTGTCAGTTTATGGGGCCCCAGGGTCAATACACATGAGGAGAGAGTTGCATTATGAAGGTCACTATTATTTTGCATTGTGACTTTCCAAGCCGGCCGCCGGGCACGGTTTCATTTTCATAGATTTCCGTGCACAACTTTCAGGCAAGACAGCCAGAGCTTTTTGTGCGCTTGCACTCGTTTTCAGGGGGGTAGTACGTCACACTCACCAAATTATCTGAGCTTTTCAGGACATCAATCACGGCTGGATGGTTGTATCCTAAAAAAAAAGCATCAATGGAAATATCATTTACAAATAACTAGAGTTTGAGACATTAAAGGGAAGATACAACATTTGCAAACATCACAAAACGAAATGATCAAATTATCAAGAAATACCTTGCTGGATTGTTAGGGAATGACAGTCTAAAGCATCCTGTAAAATCGTGGCTCCTGGTGTGCTGTCATTTTCAAGAAAAATGGTATTTTTCCAATGCTGGTCGGCTGACCAGCGTTGGAGAAAACTGTTTTTTTTTTTATCAAAAACTTCTCCTATTTTTTCATAATTAGTTATTCCGCGTTTTCTTTGCAATTGATTACACACCTGTGAAGGGGTACAAGCCTGCTAGACTGATTCTCTGACCTTACAATTCCCCAAAGTCTATAAAGTGCTCCGTTTCATCTTAAGTGGGGTCAAGGAACCAGACTACAAGAACATAATTGGTTCTCTTGGTTTTTCCAGCATCTACAAGCCCAAAACGTGAAACAAATCATTTTAACAATATTTGTTATGACATACTAATCCTCCAAATCCATTTATTTCAGAAAATTGCAGCAAAAGCAAATGTTATACATTCCCTTTTGCCAAATGCAATGTTGAGACAATGCATGCTGCACAAGATCGGGCCAGATGGGGGTGGATTGTTGCATGATGGAAACCATCCTGGCCCAAAATCTACCTGCTAAAGGACATGCCATCCAAAAACTAGCTAAACGCATACAGGATCATTTAGATTTATCCCAAAAGTAAACTACCAAATTATTATCAAAAAGCTTGCTTGCATTAAAAAGAATTTACTGGTACTATAAACACCCAATGAAATTATTCTGTCTGGCCTGCTGTCATTGAGAAGAAATCCAGAATTGTAGGGGACTATCAATGATGTGGTCAATTGACTTTTTTCTGGAAATACAGAGTACTATGGATGAAATCGTGTTTATGATCAAGCGGTTGTGCATGCTTTTCCTCTGTTTTCGCGAAAAAAATGCAGTATCCACTGAGCTGAAACTTCATCACGTTAGGTTTTGAACATTCGTCTTTGGATTTTGGGTGGTGTTATTATTGGAAACAAACAAAATGCACGACAAGCAAATGAACCTATATTTGTATATGTGACCTGCTCCACCAAAAAGGGTATTTAGTTGCGCTGAGCATCACTGTGTAATGGCCCGCTCAATATTGAGAGGGTGAACATTTTGTCAAAATGTGATTTCCATTTTTTGTCATGAATGACATCTTTAATATCTACAGTTTCAGTTTTCACTCACAGAAACATTGTTTTTGATGAACAAAATGGGAAAAAACAACCATTTTGTGTGCATCGTTCTGTTGTTCTAAAACAGAGCAAGCTATATCAAAGCCTGTTTTTCTCAGTTGTGTAATTTGAACTCCAAGGAAGTAATTAATATGTAAATACATCATATATCCAGAACTTTTGGGACTTTTTTTGGTAAAAGTGCTGTGAGCTTCACTGGCTGAAAAAGTTAGGCTATTAATAATGATTGCATGATGGAAAAAACTTGCTTTACCAATAGGAATGGAGGATATCTGCATGAATAGATCCAAGAGTCGGTTCCCGTCCACGTCTACCAGGTAATTCCCAAGACTTGCTTTGAAATCCACAAAATACTGGACGGTGCCGGAATTCTACAACAAACAATCGAAAAACTAAGCATCAGCTTTGCATGTAATTTGTGGCAATAATTTGAGGCCGGATACCGAATTTCATTTCTTCATTCCTCTTGCAAGTCTTGTGTAATATGGAAAGATAATATACAACATTTGCATGCATCAAAAACAAAACTACCAAATTACCATGTCAGTGCTTATTACTTGACTGTTAGTGAATAATAGTCTCAAGCATCCTGTGAAATCATGGCACCTGGTGTGCTGCCATTTTTAACTTGAAGAAAAGTGAAAAGTTTGCATCAATTTCCACAATATATCACATTAAAATAACAAAATTCCATGACTTTCCGATGACTTTCCATGATAGCATTACATTCCAGCATTTTCCAGGATTTTCCATGAGTGTGAGGACCCTGAGGTTTTGCTTGGTCAAAGGAAAAAAAAAATTGTGATCCTGAGCAAAACATTCTTTCAGGCATGATCTTTTCTGGCAGCTTTTTTCAAAAAATATATAAAGCATAACAAACAAAAGCCCCATAAACAATTTTTAGGCATGGTCATTATTCTGGCTACTTAAAAACATAAACTAGAAAACACTCAGAGAGTGGCTAAACAAAATCCAATTGATTTGTACTTGTACATGTACCAAAGACCACCCCTTATGCCTATGTTGGTCTACCTTTCCACTCCCCCATTGTATAAAATTGTCTAGTCCATTGACCTGTGTGGTTAGTGGGTGATCATGGTGATGAGGCATACAGGGTCACCGGGTCAGTGCCACGCACACAAAGCTGGTCACACAGAGTGATCTGGTGACAGTTTTCCACATGATCGGTGAAAAATCCTTTTTAAAAATCCAGCATCCAGACCCAGATCCAGGTCACTTCCAAAATCTAATCGATCTGTACTTGTCCCAATTCAAGGACCACCCCTTAAAAAAAATTCATGAAAATAGATCCAGAACTTTTTGAGTTATCCTGTTCACAGACAAACACACTAACCAACCAACCAACACACAAACCAACACTGGTGAAAACATAACCTCCTTAGTGGAGGTAACAAATTTGTGAGCAAAGTCCCATAAAAAAAACCTTTTCAAGAAACAGTCCTTAGATAAATCTGCAAATTGCATTTACAATGCACTCAGAGAGCACTCATCATTCATTCAGGATGATCCAGCCACGAAATCGCTTCCTAATCCACTTTGTGGTCATCTATTGCTGGGATTCTATTGATTTTTGATGGCCTTTTCTCTCCAGTATTGCCAGGCAAGCTGGCATGCAGCGCCAATCTGGATAAGGTCTGTATCAAACGACTCACACGCACAGGTGAATCTCCGCTCAGTCTTAATTTATTACAACTGGGAAATGCATTTTTAAGCTCGGGCAGGACCTTCTACATGTCACCTGGTGGTCGATCGTTCGGTCAGTCGTTCGGTTGGTCAGTCCATCTGTCTATCTGTCTGTCCTTGAAAATTGACCAAAATTATTTGACAAAAAATTGACCAAAAGCCAGCCGTCATCAGTAAATGCACTCTTGAGGAGCGTCTATTTTGCATGTCTGTCCCCGGAAAATTGACCAAAAACGAGCCACCTAAGTTTCCCATAAAACATAATTGTTTTGTTATTTCTGATTTGATATATATTTTTTTGTATTGCGCCATGAGCATCATTAATGGCTGATACCGGCGCAGTATAAATTACCGTTATTATTATCATTATTATTATAACTACCTATTTTAATTTCAAGAAAAAAGCAAACAAAAGAAATGAAATACTTGACAAGTTGTTTATGAAAATTTTGTAAATGGAGGCGCGATAATGTGCAGTAATGTTATAGTCACATGGTATAGCGCGTTATATTTATGGGTAACTTAGGGGGCTTATTTTGGTAAATTTTCAGCGTGTGATTTTTGGTGGGACGGTGGCCCGGGCTTGTATGCACCACACAATCATTTCATGCAAGAATTTCATGAAAGGCGGCCAGAGCTAATTGTGCACTCGCACTTGTTTCCTCATTTTTTCATTCTCTGTGAACATTTTGTAAAACTCCCTTTGCCAACACAGTCAGTCAATTCCCACTGAACCGAGTTTGAAATAATACTTCTGTTTAATTATTCATATTTTTTTTAACATCTCGCTTATATTTGTTATAATTGTAAAGCACTTTGAGATTGTTGATACAATGGAAAGCGCTATAGAAGCATTACAATTTTTTATTGTATTTTTTCATTTGTTTATTTGTATGTACTGTTAACTGTGACCATTATTTTAGTGATTCGTCTTTGTTTTATACTTTCCATATGGCAAATATTGTTCCAATTCATCTAAGAGTTTTTGAAAATCCAATCATCGTAATATTTATACAAATGGGAGAGTCTGACAAATTATATTAGCATTTACCTTTGTGATGGCATCCAACTTCGCTATTAGTTCCTAGGAAAGGTAAAGAAGAGAGGGAAAATATTGTTACTGTACCAAAACACTATTAGCACTCATGTTTTATTACATATACTGTACATATTGAGGAATTTCACGAGACGTCACAGGTCAGTAGTCACCCACACGCCCACCATATTGGACGTCTACAGTTGCAGACCACTGATCTCTATATAAAGACTGGATAGCTAATAAAGAGCTGCACAATGAATGAATTTGACGCCATATTGGTGAGACCAGCTGGTGATCTGCAAAGGACAAGTTGCCGTTTTTATAGACAGCATGATTTCTTTTGTAACGTCGCGGTTCACTTGACTTATATTTTGACCACCACCACTGACCAAGGTTAACTACAGTTTTTCTAACGTCGTGGTTACCAAAATGCCGCAAATATCACTTTTTCGGCGTTTTGAAATAATAATCACTACGGACATGTAACATCATAATATGTTTAGTGATCAAAATGCGCGTCAACTGTTGATACAACGAGCGCGTATTTACGCGTAGAACGTTCGTATTATACGCGGCCATCTTCGTGAGACCGGGGGCGAATTGGTCAATATGCAAAGTCTACTGTGTGAATGTTGTATGCATATCCGCTATCCAGTCTTTATATAGAGATCAGTGTTGCAGACTAGTAAATAAACTGCCACAGACCCCAGTGATAAATACGCAAACTTCCAAACTTCTGACAAATGCTCACAACTCTCCAAGGTGTATGAGACACATACATTATCAAATTAAAGCTTACTTCATCATCTTTCAGTTTCTGTTCAATCTATAGGGGGGTTAGCCAATGAGTTTTGGAGACAAATCGGATATTGACCGTGACAAACACCGTAGAACACGCAGGTTATGCATTATGCGAAGTACATATACTGTATGATCGATGGAGCACGCTAGATGTCCAAAATGGCGGATCTTGCTCCACTCACGTGATGATGTCACGAACATGTCACCAGGGCGCGTATTATTTTTACTTCCCGGACGCGTGGCGGAATCAGCCAATGAAGCGCTCCAATGTGTTCATGAATATTTATGAGGTAAGTAGTAACAAGAAATACAACGTTGACAACAATAATTATTCCATTTTGAGTGTTGAAGGTAGAGTAGATCATTTCCAGCTATCCGAAAAGCAACCGACGAAATTATTGTTGAAAAGCTTACTTGGTTTAAAGATGTAATGGCACTAAACTCCTTGTGAAATTATTCATTCAAGCATGCTGTCATTTTGAAGAAAACAATAAAAGAAGGCAATTTCCATAGATGCGTAAAGTGACGCATATTTGGAAATTTCCGTTAGGTGCGCGCAAGCGTTGACTCGACACAAACGTGCGCGCCGTTGCAATTATTCGTCGGTTCTGTGTGTGACATCTTGAGCTTATTGGCTGAATGAGTACGTGTCCCGGATGCTGATTTCGGGCGCAATTGAAAACATGACTCTGCAATTTTTCAATTGAAGTCAAGATCCTAGAATATTGTTTTCTTGGAATATACAGCAATGTTCACTGAGCTAAAACTTCATCAGGTTAGTTGTAAGCAAGTGTCTTTAGATTTTAAGCACTTTTGTTGCTTCAAACGACACATGATCTACCCTACCAGTTTGATTAATGGAACATTACCTGAGATCTTGGTCCTGGGATGGGGGTCTTGACTGATGGTCCATCGTACTCATTTGGAACAAGTTTTTGGACGGCAGCATTCGCTGAAGTCACACTCAATCCTAGAGTACACACACAAAAACTGATTTAATTTCTAGTATAAAAATTCTGTGATTATCGAACGTAAATATATTGACAATAATTAAGGTAGGTTTTATTCACTTTTAGTGGCCATTTTTTTTGTATAGCTTTCGTAGTGCAATGGAAATAGTTCAGGCTAATAATTGAATACCCCATTCAATCAGCATAAAAAAAATTGGCAAAAATAAAAACAAACTTTCCAACCGACCCTATTTTTGAAAGGCATGTAATTGGAAGCAGAAGTATTTTTTGTTTGGCCTCACCTTTCAGTCATTTAAAAAAAGTCCCTTACCAAAACAAAAATTGCAGTTTCTCTCTCACAAACTCTGTCGTAACTTCAAATCTACCCCTTTTGCACTTAACACAGCCTCTGAGTGTGTGTATGTATGGCAGGCAATCTTTCACGCTGAAACAACTATTTGTTTGTATGATACTTGCAGATAGTTCCCATGTGTAGGTATTCTATTTTTTGAGGCATCTCAAACCTACCTCTGCACACACTGCCATGAAAGCATCCTGTCCAACTAGACGGATAAATTCTACTCAAGCGCAGTCTCTGTATCCACGCCATGACATAAGGTGACCTTTGACCTGTAGAGTTCAATTTTGGAAAAAAATGTGTAAATCTTTAATAATTAAAAGTCATTTTCGTGAGGCAAAAGACTCTGTCTACAAACAATAGAAAACACTATGGAAACTTACGAGAGCTGAGATATTAGCTGTACATGGCTTTACAACCATCGTCAGCACCAAAACCCCAGATGGAGCACATATCAGCCACACATCACATGTGCTTTGCATATTGTATCTAGCGTGTCCAGCGACCATATTACTACAGTATACATTACACCAGTATACCGCCTTATTAATACTGGCTAATTTTAGGGTGGAACTCAATGTTGGCACTCCTGATAACTAAATAGTTGGGTAAAGTCTGTTTTGGTGGTTTAACATGTTAGGTACAAGTATGCATGGATAAATAAAATTTTTAAAATCCACAATTTTCATTTTTTAGTGGTAAAATTCTACTTTTTTGGTGAAAATTTACCTCAAAATACCACTTAAAAACGGGACATAACAAGTAGGCCCTAAGCCTTTTTGAATAATTTAAAAACACGCTTACAATTTATTTCCTCAGCTGAATATTGTACTGAATGAGTAATGGAATGAATTTTACAAATACTCTCATTTTATTTAACGTTAGTTACGGTGTCCACTTGTTAAATTTGCGACAAAATATATAAAAAAAGAAATAGTCTAAATTTTACATTTTCAGCAATGAATAGCTTATATTGCAATAAAGAAACTATAATAATCTCCATTTCTGACAATTATGGTCTAGTAACAAGCAAGAAGTGGACACCATGTAACTAATGTTAACTTTCTCCCTATCAGCAACATAAAGCTGCTAATAAAGGAAAGATGCTTTAAAACTTATCTTCTCATTATTATTTTCTATTGAGGGAAGGCCGGTCGAGCATTACGAAAGGGAAACAAAATTAATACAACCAATTTTATTTTTGATCCCCACGTCCCTATTTTATTCTCCAGTATTGTGTCCTTACACTTATACCATCTGTCAACTTCCAGGGGATTACCATGATAACTATGCTAATTTCCGAACGATTGTCGATTGGCACAACAACTGCATATTGGGATCACATGCATTTAATTAGAATTTTTTTATACTGGTCTTAGTACCGGTAAGAGTCTGTGAGTGTGAATGCATGGGTGATCGTGCCAAACAGATTGCCCACTTAATACACAAGAAAAACTATGAATATGAGAATTTTGAGCTTCCACACGTTAAATTGTCACACTATTTTGTGTATGATAGTGCACAACAAATACAAGGACGTCAATCACTTCTCAAAATTGGGGGGGGGGGGCATTTAAGTACCTTGTTCAACACTAATGTGAGCGCAAAGCGTGGAGCCCTAATGGCGTGGGATCCAGGGCCCGCTAAAGGGCCCCTGAACATTTTGGATTCTAGACGCTAGAGCTGAAGAGCGATCTGAGGCAATTTCTGACCACTTCAACCAATTTTTGTGAGCAAAAGATTTTGAGTTTGGAGTCACTGAATCAGCTATTCTGAGCTATATGGAATCATTATGTTGGCTGCAATTTTGATTTGGGGGACGAAAAAGTGTGTTGGGGGAGGGGAAAAACGATATGATATCCCCCCCCCCCACTTTAAAAAGTGGGGGGGGGGGGGGGGACTTGACCCCCCTTCCATCCCCCACGGATTGACGCCCATGAATACATATGTACACTGACGGCGGAACAAGGGGGGGGGGGGGGCAGGGGGCCCATTGCCCCCCCCCCCACTTTTTCCACTGGGGGCATCCCCCCCCCCACTTTTTCCACTGGGGGCATCCCCCCCCCCCACTTTTTCCACTGGGGGGCATCCCCCCCCCACTATTGGTGGGTCCCACAATCCAATTTGTTAGTAAAAACGGCTATCATGCGCACCAGATTACTAGCGGCCACTGGATAAACACTCAAGGTGTGTTAGATTCCTGTTCCAATGGTTTGAATGCTACTGAATGGCCAGTGGGCGTGTTTTAAACTGAACTGATGTCACATTAACGAACCGGGTAGCATACATACTACTTTTGGAAAGGGGCTCCCCTATTGATGAATGAGTATTATAAAATCACTCCAAAGCGTATAGCTTTTAAACAAAACATGACGCTCATGATCAAAAATGTGCCTAAGTTGCTTCACCAGGGTTTACTACTCACACTTGGGGTCAACATGTAAATTGAGGTCAAAGTAACTTTGTGACTCCAGAGCTCTGCTAGTGACTTTTTTTTATACTTTTTGTCTATATTATATGCCAACTACAGCATCGGTCCCACCAATAGTTGGTCACAACAACAGTTAATTGGTAAGACCCAAAAAATAAGTTGGGATTGCTCAACTGAAGTTGGGACCGTCCGAACTACATAGTGCTACAATTGGATCATAACATCAACGTTTAGGAGTAAGGGTCCTAGCTGCACAGAGTCCATAGTGTATGTACATGTAGTTGAGGACAATGCTCTATATTGGACTCAAATAAACTGATGACCTGTTGAATAGTACCAACATTGAGAGGGCAAGGTTCTGAACTTTTAGATAAATTATTTGTAAATTAATAACCAAGACAATGTACATTGCGCAAGTTATATGGCACAAACCATTTTTAATGCACTCGATTTGTACAATGAACTGCAATCATAGATAGGCTGCAGTTAGAAATCGGGTAAATATACATACATGTACATGCATACATGTACATGTATGAAAGCAAAGGCAGGTTAATTTTCTACCGAAATACTAAGTACAAAATGTAAACTAGAGTTATTATGATACATGTAAAATAAGATTGTTTGAGATTCAAATGTCATTCTAGTATGTACGATAGAATCTGTTTAGGAATCTCCATAATAAAGTAGCCGTTTGCTACAAATATTTGTTGATGATACATTGTACATATTTGTACCATTTGGGCCGGTCCGCGGGTTGGGGGCACTGCAACATTTGCACGGGTCTTGTATCTGGGCAGATGGTGGGACCTTTTGTTATAGAAGCTTCGAGATCACTTTTTTTGGTTGATTTTTGAAAGTGAGTGTTGCTGTTGTTGTAAAGAGTTCTTGGTCATTTGAGAAACGAATACAAAAGCCAGTTTTGAAACAAATGTACCAGGTCTGTTGTTTCTCTGATCACGCTGTGTGACGACCACAAATTTGTATCCTTGTGGAGACACGCACACAATAGGGAACAAAACATTGTAAAGGTCTCCACAGGGAAATTTCTATAGATGAATAGGTCTCCACAAGGTTTTCACGAAATAGATACGATGTACATGTATATGGATTTTACTCAAAATTAGGAATTTCCAAGGTGGGTTGATCTGTCGCAAATGGAAGAGTTTTAAAAAAGGGATATTAAGTCCGAATTTCAGCCAAGGAAATTAATGCTGGTTAAAATAAGAGCATTTTGAAACTTCACTTTCAAAATCGAAAACTTTACTACACGAGAACAAAGAAATGTCTCCACAAGGATACAAATTTGATAGTGTGTGAGCCCAGACATGGCAGGCTACACTGGTGGCAGCAGTGCCACGGTCAAGACAGAGAAATCAGGTACCTGGTAGTTTTCTTTTTGACTGCCGGGCCCAGTTGGGAATGCGCCCTAGGGGCAGAGAGGAATCCAAGAGCGATCTTGGGCAATCAAGTCATCATCTTGTTTTTAAGAGCTATCCAGGATTGCCAACTGAGGCCAGGGAGGACATAGCCATAGAAGCATTCCGCAATTCGATGAACAACTTCAACACCAGGTAATTTGCTGGGAAAGCCAACACCATGGCTCACGCAGTTACATTGTCTACAGAGATGCAAGAGCTAGGCCAGGCGCAAAAGGGACCTGAGCAGTTGCGGCACAACCACCGTTAATGCAAGGAGATGAAAAGGAACAGGAGATGCCAACTTCTCATCAAGATAGCGCCAACATGGAATGTTCCTGCTGCAATAAACGTGGTCACTCTCAGAGAGAGTTCCAAGGGCACGACTGGCTTAACAATGCCAATGGTGGTAAAGGACAGAGGCTAATGGGGGCCAAAACAAGCTTCCATCAACAGGAAACAGCAGGAGTGAATAGCACAGAAGGCCATCGGGCACATGAAAGGTTCCAGACGAGGTGGAGCAGCAGAGAGGTGACAACATCTTGTCTGGTCTCAAAAGTGGATGAAGGGGAACAAGTAATCACCTCTGGCAGCCACACGTTGAGCAAGTCAGAGCCCAACTACTGTGCCACACAGAAGGAGCTCCTGGCAGTCGTTCATTTCATCCACTACTTCAAGCATTATCTGCTTAAAGCATTATCTGCTTGAAACTTTATCTGCTTGAAGCATTATCTGCTAGCGGAGAAGAAACACATAAACGCAGATGCACTGTCCAGAATTCCGTGTAGCCAGTATGAGGTCCAGTAATGAACAGCAAGTGTGCTACCGGGACTCTCATTGGAAAAGGGAAGTGGTCGACTCAAGTAACCAACAGAAACTTGAAGGTGATGAGGACCTTGCAGGGGACAAGAGGCTTGGGAGGTCCCAATGGCATTGATGAGCTGGTAAGAGAATGGGATGTTTCCAAAATTTAATTAGCACAACAGGAAGACCTTGAGCTGCAGAACATCTTGCTTTGGCCGACAATCAAGGGGTCAGCCTAGAAGGAAGTCTCGGTGCTGGACGAGGGGACCAAGTTTTGGTTAGCCAAATGAGATACACTTCAGCTGGTTGATGGGGTTTGAAGGATCAGTTGGGAAGAGGTTGATGGCCTTAGTTCTACCTTAAAGGTTGAGGTTCCACAGAGAAAGATTTGTGGATAAGGACATCTGGACATCTGGAGACCACAAGAACAGTTGCCCGGCTTTGGCAGGCACCTGTCTACTGGAGTGGAATAAAAAGTCAAGCTAAGATATGGTGCCGAAATGACACAAGTGCAGATCGAAGAAGGCTCCTCCCAAACCACTTTGGGTCCCCCTTCAACAGTGACAGGTGGGAACTCCTATGGAGTGGATTGATATCAGCATTACTGGAATGCCTCTCAGTACCAGATCAGTGAGAGGGCATGTGGAGGGGTGGAGTTTGTGAGTTCCATCGAGGTTGAGGATGAACTGGAAATCTTCGCTAGTGATGAAGAAATGGAATTCATCTGCTCTGCCTCCAGAGGCCCAGGATATCACAAGCCCAGGATATCACAAGCCCAGCACAGGGGCCTGCTACCCTTCGGAGTGGCCCCTACCATCTGCCCAACATGATCAACCTAAGAAGTACCCACCATGTGACAGGGTCTGCTAACCTTCAGAGCGGCCCAAACCACCAACCCAACACAATCAACCTAAAAAGGTGTTTATTTAGAGATGGCACCCGCTATGCTAAAGAGCGGCTCAAAAGCTCAAAGTAGTGAGATCGTCGAGATTAGCGTCTGGCCAATGAGGGAAGCTGTTGCCATTCGGAGCCACCTCTACAACAGTCAAGACACAGACACCAGCCATGCCAGCCATCAGTCTTGTCCCTAGGCCAGAGATGTTGCCATAGCATCCCCCTGGGGACCTACATTGTAATTGATGTTACTGGGCGGGTCCCAATGGTCGTAGACACAGTGTGCGTCATCCAGGCTGAGTATTCTGCCAGGTACTAGACCACAGAAATGGTCATGCCGCTTTGTGAGCACTTGAGGGTGAGTGGAGATTAGAACACATCCCTGCATCCGTCAATGAGCATGGGCACCGGCTGGTGCATTCACGAGTCACCCAAGGCAGCCATCGCAAGATACTCCAAGAACGTAGCTCATGGGTTTTGAGAGGGACTGTTCCTGTTTAAATTTCCTTTTCCTTGTTTACCCCTCGGGGTGGGGTCCTGCACCTACAACCGGGTAGCATTCGCTGCTTACTTGGAGACAAATAAGGGTCCTCGGAGAGGGCTGTGTAATGTTTGGGCCTTTTATACCTGGGGAGCTGCCCCTTTCCAGCTGACTGAGGAACCCGTTTTCCAGGAGCATCTTTTGTTCTAGATTTGAGACCGCAGTTGTTTTTGTTTGTGGTTGACTTTTGAGAGAGTTACCGGTACTGTTGCTGCTTTTTGGGTGCTACAGTGATTAAAGGGTTTTTAAAAATATATTTTTTCAGATGCTGCTGACATGTTCAGGTAAATGTCGTTAGATTTTTATGTAACATTAAATAGATTTCGAGCAAAACACTTAAAACCAAGCATTCTTACTGGATATTAATTCTCAACTAAAATCTTACAAAAATTCGCTTCTGGCCTCTGGACACCTAATGTAAACAACTTGCATTTGTGAAGCAATAAATTAAAAAAAAAAAATAATGGTTACAAGATTGAGCTCAGAAAAGCAATAGTGCTACCGCAGCATCATGACTTTGGACATTACTATCCCCGTCATCCAGCATGGACCATGTACTAGTATTAGTGTCTTAGTTTTGGACTAAGCAGTTCTGAAAGAACTACAAGTACATTAACCCATTAACACCTGTAGTACATTGTATTACATTGTGTTTATTCACAGAAGAATTCTGGTGCTAAAGTACTTAATGAGCAGGGCAGTTTCGGGCCCTACATGTAGAGTACTAAAGGGTTAATAAGTAGAGCTCTAGTGCATTCTTCTTTGGTCAACTTAAACGTCATTAAAGGGAATGTACATTATTGGCTTTTGCTGTAATTTTCAGAAATGAACTATTTGAGGGGTTACTACATAATGGATCCAATATTGTTACACTGACATGTTTGAAGTTTTGTGTTCGAAAATGCTGAAAAAAACAAGAAAAACAAAAGTGATGGAATAGTCTCGTTCCCTGACTCCACTAAAGATAAAATGGATCAATTTATAGATACCGGAAAATTGTAAGGTAAGGGAACCAGTCTAGCTGGCCTGCATGTGTTCATGAACATGTAACCAATTGATAGCAAACAAAATTTGGACTGAAAAAAATGGTGAATTTGGAGCAGTAGTTGAAAAACAGTTAGGTTTTTCCAACGGTGGTCGGCCGACCACCGTTGGAAATTTGTAAAAAAATACCATTTTCTTGAAAATGACTTCACACCAGGGGCCATAATTTTACAGGGTGCTTTAGACTGTCATTTACCAACATTCTGGTATGGTATTTTGTAAAAATTTGGTAGTTTTATTTTTCGATGTTATATTCCCTCTAACTTAAAGTTAACCCAGTCCCTCTAAATGATTTCAAGGAAACAAAAGATAGAATGCAGCACAATAAATGACAAGTTGCTCAGTTGAATAAAAAACACTGACACTGACAGAAGAAAATTGGTTTGAAATCAAGATGTTAAAAAAGGTAATAAAGAAACACATCTTCAAACAGGGAGAATTGAAACATGAAGGGATGGGCCAACTTAAATACATCATGATTACATACATGGCTTTCCTCCATGGCTAAAAAAAACCCAAATTTATAGAGGGGGATGCATGTGCATTTGGATGCATTAGCCGCATTCCGGAAAAAAATGTTGCAACCCAAAGCCACTTTTTTCTTCATATTATCTCAATGAAGGTCATTCATTGCAAAAATGATGCTAGACATGAATCTGGGACTGAGAAACATTTCCAATTTTTTTAGGAAAATTTTCTTGACTCTCCATAGACTTTGTACACAAGTGGCGTCAGGTCGCAACATTTTTTTCCCAGGAAGGAACACTTTCATTCAATTCAATTCTATTCAATTTACTTTATTTTCCACATTAAAAAAAATGACAATCAGAGTTAAATGTATACAAATATGTGGATGGGGATCCCTAAGAAGCAATGCTTGTCGAGTAGACATGCAAGTACTTGATCATACAAAAATATAATGAGTTACACACACAAACAACACATAACACCAGACATAACACCAGACATGAATATGACTATGAATACTCTATAAATACTCACGCTTTTAACTGATGAAAAGGGCAGCAGCATTAAGTCCAAGGACTCGCTACGATGGCTTCAGGCTCCACACTGCGAAATAACAGCGGGCAGTCACGGAGCGGCTCACGGGCTCTTTCTCGACAACCACCGTTCCTGCTTCGATCAGCTCAGGCTCTGCAGGCTGAAATCACCGTCGAGCTTTAATCCGTAGTTTGGACTGCACTGGGCTTGGCTCTGTGGCTCAACACTCCCCTACCAAAAACAAGTGTTCCTGTGGGAACTTGGGACTCTGAAAGGGATCTTTTGACCCGATGTACTTACGATTGTTTACATAAAATTACTTCGGGCATCCAGGGCCACCTGCGAAATTTGAGTAGTTGATCGACTGCAGCTAGCATGTGCAGCGCCCTCAATAGATTGAAAGGCTGCAACTATTTCTACTTGTAGGGTGTGGCTTGCTGGATGTCGGGGGGGGGGGGGCGTGGTTGACGTTCAAATATAGCACAAATTTAAGGAATAAGGATTATCATATTCATTTTGTACTTTTTTGTATGAATAAGGAGCATACTTCATACTTCAAACAAGTTAACAAACTAATTTAACAAGTAATGCACACTGTATTCAAATTATATGTTCTCTGATTTTATTTTCAGTTTTTTTTCTCAACCTGAAAAAAGCACTAATGAAATTTGGAAAATACTGATGTACACAACTAAATAATGTTTATATTCTTAAGATCATTCACGAGAAAAAAAACACTGATATTGTCCAATAAATATAGAATAGGAATTACTTTGACATCAAGAGCAAACAGAAAACAAGTGCTTACATTAAAAATACCAAAAAAAATTGTTTGTATCCAAATAAATAATGAACTATTTATGGGCAAGTATGTATGCATGAGTATTGTATTGAATTTCGGGGAGATCCTTCTGATCAAAATCAAAACTAAAAAACCCTAAACATGTGAGATGCCTCTTCTTTCTTTTAATATATGACATCTGTTTGAATGAAACTGTAACTTTACTTTTACCGGTGCTTGAATGTCAACCTTTAACAACAGTGATTGGGACCAGGGTCCCTTTCATGTTTTAAAAAAAGTACTGTCTGTCTTTTTTTCAACACGGGAAAATGTTTGATCAATTTTTCAATTTGTAGGTCCAGTTTAATAATGTACTGTTCATGTTTTGTTTTTTCAATATCTTTTGTTTTAAACCCCCTTCAAAATGTTTGAACTGCAATATTTCTAGCAATACAAGAGTTACTCACTTTCGAATAAGACAGTTCAAAAATAATAAAGTAATACGTGGGTCAATTTTTGTTTTCATCTGATATCTAAATCAAAAGAGAAAACAACTTTTTATTTCTAGAAAAGTAGAAATCATTGTCATGGAGAAGATTAGGGACAATTTCACGGAACTTGCAGAGCACAGATATTTGCTAAGTGGCAAAAATGATATGATTGCAACATCACAAGCTACGAGAGATGAACAGTTATGCAATGCACATTGTTCGTAACTGGTTGTAGCTCATTCGTGCTAAACACAAAAAGATGCTTAGCACATTTTCTTAGCTGTTCCACGAAACTGGGCCTTGGTCATCTGTCTACTCCACCGACAGTACATGTACACAGTAATATTTATGTTAGACTATTATCAAAAGAAAGCTTGACACGAGAAACAAGAATCACAATTATACAATTTTCTCAATAAATATATCGTACCTCTGTCAATCTACATACATAATTACAAGAAAATATTGACCCTTTGCTTAGAGCGCCCTCACTGAGGTTAGGCCCGCGTCCCACTCGCGCAAATGTTCTTTCTTTCTGTATATCAAAAGGAAAATCATTCGCCAACAATCATGGCAATGTTTGTGTAAGTGCTTTTTTTTTTTTTTTTTTAAATTCAGTGCCAATGCAAGTACCGAGTGTCTACGCATGCGTATCACTGGGGAACGCGGATCTGCAAACAGCGAGGGCGCTCTAAGCACAGGGTCTATTTATTTACAATTCGAAGCGAATGAGTAATCAAAGTCTATAATTACATTTGTAATATCTGGGAAAAAAATATATTAGAGAGTAAATCAGAGCTTGAATGTACATCAATTGACAAGTATATGCAAATAAATAGAATCAGGTAAAGTGATAGACCTTTGATTTTCTTTTTACAATTTTGAAAATTGCTAACTTTTTGCAACAAACTCTTTGTTGATGATAAAGATACAAAGCAGCACAGCAGCTAGTGAAGCTACATATATTTTGTACATGGTAGACCTCTGCCACAACTTTTATGATCCCAGGAGATTCCTTTTCAAAAGCAATTCAGAGCATTTAGAAGCATCTTCAGAAATTATTCTTCATAAAAGAAAAAGGCTGGGGGTTAAAAACTGGAATTATCAAATATCTTTCTTGACATTTTTGCCTCTTTATGAATAAATTAACCCTCCTATGCAAACATGAACTCTGTGCAAAGTTGTCCTCTCAGTCAAAATTAGTCAAGCGTCTGTTTTTAACGGTTGAATGGTGCCTGCCTATATAAAGCAGGATTGACTGGCTGTGACTGTTTATGTAACTTGATACAGCTATGTTTTGACTGTAGGTGATTGATACGACAGCTGTGCCTACACCAGTTGCCTGCTTTTGTCTGTTGAATGAATTTAACTAGTCACAGTGCTTGCTTGAAATATGATCCGACTGTTGGTGACTAGCCTGTGTAAAAGGCATGACAGGGGAAGAGGCTTGATTCTTTGATTGTCTGTGACTGTTCAGACAGCAGGAGGGTTAATATAGGAAAAAGAGGATACCTCAAAGGATACACAATAGGCCTAAAAATGAAAGCAGCGTTCTCTTTGCATAATAAACAGTGGTTTCCCGTTTGTATGATTTTAAAGCGTTTCTTGCTCTGTTTGGTTCTTCAAACTTAAACGGATTAACTTCCAAACCGCAAAACGTCTGCTACGGTTACTTTCAAGCTATAGTATAAATGCTTTGGTATGATCTTGGCCACTAGATCTCTCTCACAGGACGCCATCTTCGTAGGAAAATTACAACTGCGTGTTCAACCCCATCAGGCGCATTTGCAAAATATTCTAAACACTTGTGCATGTCGCTCGAAATTTCTTCAAAATGCCCGTCAAGAAAATATGACGCCCACATTGCCCATGTCGCAATCCGTAGGAAGTGACGTCATTTGAGAGAGACCTATTATAAGTTTACATTTTTGTACAGCTTTTGTGAACTTTGGTCAACATAAATATACGAAATCACAATATTTGCAGAATGAAATGACCAGAATGACCCTACGCATGGCAAAATCATATAGAGGGAGGGTTTACTGTGTTCAAAAATACATAAATAAATAAATAAAACAAAACTTTTTCAAAAATCTCAAGAAAAAGGAAAAAACGGAACAAACAACAGAAAAAAAAGTCTCAAAAAGCATCTAATAATGTTCTGTTTTTCAACTGATAAACAATATCAAATTGGGACACTGGGTATTCCTTCTTCTTTTTTGTAAAAGTATTTTCTTTGTTTTTGTTTTACTTTGGAGGGAGGCTTTCCTCTTCATCTGCTAAGTGCTATTGGTGGAGTAATAACTCACTGTACTTCCTATTTCATGTAATGTACACTGCCGACAGCTCGTTAGAGTCAAAATACAATTTTTTGAATTGGTTCTGTGTTGTAAACTCATTTATCCAATGCAGCAGAAATGCCACTAATGTACAAGTGATTGGTCCAATGTAATTATACTTGCTATCAACTGTGGACAACATTGCAGCAAAAAAAACAACAAAAAACAAAAACAACGTAATTCACTAGAACACTCATTCATGTAATATAAAAGAACACAATGCCTACAATTTAATATACAGTTTACTTTAGTACTCAACATATATGCATCTGATACGCGTATTAAAGTTTGAACTTTGTCCAAATTTATCACAAATTGCTGTCTAATTTGGGCGTTGGCTACCTGCCATACATATATATTTGATCTTTGCTTTGCGCAAAACAAATACGAGAGTTGTACAAAATATGAACATTGTATGAATATATGAATACTACTGAACTAGAAACATCACTAGACTGAAATCCAAATTTGTACACAAGCACTGCACTGGTAGGAACATGCCAACAGAAAAAAATCTGACATTTAGGATTGATTTCAGACGAAACGAATAAACAAATTATAAGAAGAAAGAGTCCATCAAACAACACAATTACAGCTGCAGAGCCATTATGCAAATATGTAAAGAACAAAAGAAGCAAGTATTTGGCTGGACAGATTTCAGCAGAGAAAGTCTCAGACTTATACTGTCGATGAATTACCACAGGACAGTGTTGTACTAGCTACACTTTCTTTTTCCAATTTCCCAAGTATTCTGTAATACCAGGTTATATACACGTACACTTTGGCTGTATGTTTAACAAAAACCTATCCATTTCACTTCTGATACTGTAATATTAGCCCATGCATGAACTCTTGATCCATACATTGGGGGGAAAATGCGGAAACAAAATTGTAAAACTTATCAGAATGAAATTGCTGGAATTGCTACATATGCATTACGCACTGTTCACATCATAACAACGACAACTTTGTAATTCTGAAAAGTTCTAGACAACTTACCGCCAAAAAACATTCAAACTTTACAGTGACCTACATGCACAAACATGTAACTGGAAAATGGAAAAGAATGGTTAAGTACATGTACACGTTTATGTATTTGGTTTCTCTTAACTCTCTGCATGTATGTTGAAACCTATTCGCTTGTGTTGCATCAAAATCAGTATCAGTAAAGTTCTCCACAACGTACGGCAAAAGATTGAGTCTCAACAATGACTTGCATTCACGGTACATAGGATCATTTGCTTTTGCTGCATTTTTTTCTTCGTTTGAAGCGACAAAATTGCTGAAAATCTTAAGAAGGGTGCATACCAACCAACTTGTTGAAGTTTCAGCTCAGTGGATACTACACATTTTGAGAAAACAGAGAAAATATGCTAAATTTGCAGGGTCTCATAGGCTATAAACTGGATTCCATTGCTAACGCAAGTAAAAAAAAACCTGTGCCCTATGACAGATTTCCTTACTAACCACCTTAATGATTGTTTTCTTCAAAACCATACCATTTTAGGCAGATTAATTTCACAGGGTATTTAGTACTAGTCTTATCTTCACTTTGAGCAATGATTTTCCTGTTGAGTTGTTAGGTACGGTTTCGGGAAATTGCAAATGTTCCTATGTGCCTTTACAGAATGGATACATTTTTTAAAAATTTTTTTTAGGATCTCCGCACATTTTCCGAGACTAACACATTCCGTTGTGATGTATCAACAACTAGCCTCGTCACGCAGCCACGTTTTTCAGCAAAACATTCCACAACTATATACTGACATCAAAGATAAACATCTGCATCACAAGTAAACAGAAAAGAAGGGACGAAAGTTGGTTTTTCAGGACTCTCCTAGCGTGTTTCGGAGATGCCGGGACTATTACACATCCCATTGGGACGTATCAACATCTAGCCTCGTCACGCAGCCACGTTTCTCAGCAAAGTTCTCCACAACTATATAACTGATATCAAGATAAACATCTGCATCACAAGTAAACAGAAAAGAAGGGATGAAAGTTGGTTCTTCAGGACACACCATACGTGTTTCGGAGATGCTTGGGCTGACACAGCCCACTGCATCGTACCACCAACTAGCCTCGTCGCGCAACCACGTTTTCCAGCTAAGTTCTCCACAACTTACTGACATAAAATATAAACATCTGCATCACTAGAAAACAGAAAAGAAAGGATGAAGGTTGATTTTTCAGTACTCTCCGACTCCGAGTACTTTTTGGAGATGCTTGGGCTGGAACATCCCACTGCGTCGTACCACTAACTGGCCTCGTCGCGCAGCCACGTTTTGGCCTCCGCTACCTCCTTGGTCACCACGAGCAACAGCTCGCATCCTTTGCGTCTCAGCTCCGCCTCGAGGAAACCCCGTAGCTTTGAGGAGTCCCCGATCTTGGCGGGCTTGCTCAGTTTGGAGTCCAGGTTGTAGTAGGTGCCCTCGATCTGCCGGACGGCGATCCAGTGTTTGCGGCGGAGGGGAACGCTGACGAAGCCCAGCTGCATGGGAGAGGGAATGTTGACGATGAAGCCGATCAGAACTTCCAATCGGAGCGCCTCCAGACACCTGGTCGATATAGAACCAATGAAAAAACGATACTGAAACCAGACTGATAGGGTTTATATACCAAAATGCTCACTCCCCTCAACTTGAATAATGATCTGATACACTGTGCCCTCTGGAGACGTGCACACAATAGGAGGAAACAAATAATTGTTTACGTCTCCACAGGGCAATTTCTATAGATGAATACGTCTCCACAAGGTTTTCACGAAATAGATATATATGGATTTTACTCAAAAACTAGGAATTTCCAAGGTGGGTTGATCTGTCGCAAATGGAAGAGTTTTAGAGAAAGGGATATTAAGTCCGAATTTCGGCCAAGGAAATTAATTCTGGTTAAAATAAGAGCATTTTCAAACTTCACTTTTAAACTCGAAAACTCGAAAACTACACGAGAACAAAGGAGAACAATTTGTATCCACAAGGATACAAATGTCAGTATGTGTGAATGTGTCATGTGTGTGTGAGCAGTGATAGCTTCTTTTCGTTCACTGGATAAGTCTTTATGCATGGAGTTGATCTTGGTACTGTCAAGTAGCCTCTTTGAGGCAAATGCTTGTTTCACACTGTAATGCGCACCACTTTTATTTCACCACATACAAATGTATTTCACTTCTTTCATTGGTCAATGTTGCAACACGCTGTGAGTGTAAAAATCTCGTGACTGAAGCACTATACCTCATAAATATTCATGAGCAAGAGCTAAATTCTAACTGGTTCATTCACCATCACGTGTCAGCTGCTAGTTTTGCTGTTTACCAAGCGCGCAGTACACGAGGATTCGTAGTGGGATTCACGCACATTGTAGATACGTATGAATAGTAGACTAGCGTTTGCTAGTCTACTGCGCATGTACTTTATGAAGCAAACATGGAACTAGCATACGAGGGTAGTGCGTACGTCATACCTGGTACCACATGAAAAGATGGGCACAAACAGCAACATTTTGTCAAGATAACTTATGTATACAACTTGACAGAATTGTGATGAATATGTTTGAGGTAGAGTAAAACAAATACATGTATAACATGGTTTATTTTGAGTGGATATTCCATATTAGGTCCCCGCACTACTGGAAATTTTGCCTCTGGAACTACTTTGTCAACTTCCAATACCGAGGGGAGCTCGATATCGACTATCCAACCAAAATACACCATGTTATGTTTCGTCAACGACACCAGGAAGTAACCCCTGAGTGGACTTGAGTGCGCGCCACGCATATTCTACAGAACCGAGTGATTTTTTGTTTTTACGAAGTAACACCCAAGTACACTGTGTGCTCTCTCTGTACATTTTCGTTTTCACGAAGTAACACCAATTTCTATTTCACTAGTTTAAGACTTTTATTAAATTTTTCTGTAATCCCACCAGAAAATGGATTAATATGACATTCCTGTCAAATGCTTTAAACGTTTTTATCCAAATTGTATTTCCGTAAAAGTGTTGTAACTCTGTGAAAACGAAAATCATTCGCGCCAGTGTCCGATGTGCGCGCACACTTGGGTGTCACTTCGTGAAACCAAAATGTGTCATGTAGCGGTTTTCACGAAGTAAACCCTAGAGTGCAGTTGGGTGTTACTTTGTGGTGTCGGTGACCATTTCTATACTATTGTCCAACTGATCTGTAGTATCAGAGAAGAAGTACCTAGACTCCCCATTATGCTACAGAAGCAACGACAAGTTAGGTTGTTCTTGGTGCCACACAAAAACCGTCACTACAGGTGACTTCAATGTAGAACAATTTAGGTATGAGAGGAATTTTAAACTTTTGAAAATACTTAAATGTACTAGACAATGTTTGAGGTGTAACAAATACACCATTACTTCAGGGAAGAAGTGCGAAACTACTGGTCCCTCGGTGTTGGCTGATTTTGACTACTTCCATCTGCTTTGCGTCAGGAGGTGGTCAAATCAGCCAACACTTGGTAATCCTCACTTTTAGGACCCCGTTCCTATACAGGAAGGGAAAGACTCACCAAAACAGTTGACTAAATGACACTCAAAATTGACATTCTGATATTTCTTGGCACATCTGAACAATTGGCAATGACACCTTCTTGAATATCAGCAGGCTTAATTTTCTGGAAAGAGGGCAGGGCTTTGATTTATGAGGGAAATTCAGGGGTAAAAGACGAACAACCAGAAAACAGACTCAAAAACCAAGATGGCAAACCTGAAAGCTCAATGCGATGAAAGCTCAATGCTGATTGGCTGATAAAAAAATAAACATCTTATTTATTTTTTTTAGCAGCCAATCAGCATCGGGCTTTCATTATGTAGGGATGGCAAACCTGAAAGCTCAATGCGATGAAAGCTCGATGCTGATTGGCTGATAAAAAATAAACATCTTATTTATTTATTTTAGCAGCCAATCAGCATCGGGCTTTCATTATGTAGGGCTTTCACACGTGTGAGAACTACAACATGCACGTCTGACTGCGAAAAAAGGTAGGAAAGTCACATTTTCTTTGAAAGTGCTTTCAAAATTACAACTAACATGAGTTTATATGAAGAAAAAGGACTGCTTTAGCCTGCAAAAGTCACATTGGTACTGGACAGTCATCTGCAAAAGTCAGTTTTGAACAGAACTCGTAAAAAATAGAGGTGTCCTAAAAGTAAGGATTACCCAACACTTTATGACCAGTCATGTTCCACTGCTTCCACTCAAACCATGTAGTATATTTGTACACCAACGATTTACCTTCGTTTATCCCACCACACAGCCTCGCAGTCCTTGTGCTGCAGAGCGGCCATGATGACGTTGACGTCGTAATTGCCCAATCCCAGCATGCTCTTGTGCGGATTCAAGACCGTACCGGGGGAGAGACTGCAACAAATGAAATAATGGAACAATATTTACCAACTTGAAAAAATTGTATTGAATCAGTGATTTTTAAAAAATCGCTTTATTTCATCTGCATGTAGTCTACCTCATTGGTTCAAATGGTACATTACAGGGCGAGTCAAAAAAAGCGGAACCCAAACCCCCAAAAATGTATTTCATATTTAAAAAAATATGTAGCACCAAAAATAATAATGACTGGAAAGACAATTTCAAAAGCTACTTTTAGATGAAAAAATTACTGAAATTGCTCAATCCGTTCAAAGAATACCACCATCTTAAAGCAATGACCCTAATCTATGTTAATACAAAATTCTGTCTCGTTCAAAAAATCAATTCATTGTGTGTTTTGACTGTTTGGAACAACAAAGAAAATGACACAGAATATTTGTTTCAACAACTGTCACCAACTGTAGCACACAATATCTTGATTAACAACCCTGGTTAGGCAAACAATATGATTTATAAAATCTACTTTTTTAAAAGACGGGCCTTCAAAAGGACTTTGTTGCATATTGTTAACGTTTGAACTAAGATTTCATCGCAGGTTATGTTTGAAGACAATTGTGACGACGATTGTTGAAATCGCATTTTTGGACGAGACAGGTTTTAGGGTCATTGTGTTTAAATGGTGATATTTTTTGAACGGATTGACCAATTTCAGTAATTGTTTCATCCAAAAGTAGCTTATGAAATTGGCTTTCCAGTCATTATTATTTTTGGTGCTACATATTTTTTGAAATATAAAATAAAATTTGGGGGGTTTAGGTTCCGCTTTTTTTGACTCACCCTGTATTAATACTAAAGACACTTTAACCCTAACTCCCTAGGCCTTTTTGCTAGGATGTAGCCTCAATCCTGCAAAATCCTCCAATTGGCCTCATGGAAAAATAGCATATAGCCTCAATCCTGCAAATTCCTCCATTATTTCTTGAATATGGTCCATGGAGGGGTGACCACTGCCTGAATCCTGCAAAATCCTCCGGCTATGACTGTCAATAGGCTGAGGCAGAGGCAGTGACATCCTAGAGCAGTGCGGAGGATTTCAAGTATAATCAAGGACTAAATTTATGCATGGCTGAGCATAAACAACACATGGTCCGGCCCAAGACCTTGACACAGTGCGTACTCCGAAATCCGCAACGCACTTTTGCCATGTAACCTCAATCCTGCAAAATCCTCCGATTTGCAAAAAGGATTTTGGAGGATTCAGGGCGGTTAGGGTTAATGGTGCACAGCTTGATTGATAAAGCCGAGGTACGTTGTGTGTGTCTTAAGTGTTAAGACTCTCATATGCACAGTATTGAGAGTCCCAAATTTTTGGAATAGACCAAGACGAAGGCCTCCATGGCTTACTTTTGACATAACTCATCCAGGACTTGCTTGCTGAAGGCCTGGCTGTCCTGAAACACGTTATTGAGGGCGTGTAAGGCGCACAACTCCCACTTCTGACGTTCATGGTACACCGACATGATGGGCAGGATATCTCACAGGCCCCTGCTGCCTATTAGCATGAGAAGGGGGCTGTGTTGCCAAATGGGGCAGATAATCGTGTAGTTGTAGTAAGCAAAAGACAAATCTGGGGGGAAAACTTTAAGACAAAGAAATAAAAAGGCAACAAGGGTTACTTAAGCAGTATAAGCACCAATCATACGAAATCGGCCTACATCGAAGTTTTGGGGATTGTGGAGTTCAGGACCCTGTTCCTATAAAGCCAGCCTCAGGTCGACCTGCAATTTTCTTGCGCCACGACGGAACTGTCGGCATCAAGCACAACAATTACGCTCAGGTCACAAAACAGAGAAATCGTGTGACGGTCGCGGAACACGTCAAAGAAGCTGAAATTTTTCTACTCTTGCGACTGGTGATTTCTTTGAGCGCCAAAAAATCGGCGACTGACTTGTTTCCGACAGTCGTAGCTCAGGTGCAGCTTGATCCTGTAAAGCCAAGTCAGTCACCGACTGATCTGTGCCCTCCCAAGGTCGACCTGAGGCCGGCTTATGAGAACGAAAATCCACTTGTAACTTTGTGGACTCGCGTAAGTAGATGGCGATAATGTTACACCCCAACTGCGGCATTGGCCTAACTATACCTGGGCTAGCCCCACTAGTGTGGCCGTCGGTATGCTGCGCTGAACCCAAGGCCACACACCGTGGTCTGCGCACTACTGAGGACGTTTTCATAATTTCAACAGCGAATTTCTTACATATGGTTGTATTCTACGATGTCCCAACTTTCACTTCTGGGATGCTTGGGTGTAATGATGTTCAATTTTCCAAGATATTCTTGAATCTTTCTGGAGCCCATATGCACTCGTGAAACGTCTGGTGATGGCAGCCATTTTGAATGTGACAAGAGATGACCTCAAGCTGTGACGTCGCGTTTATGCAAATTGCTTGTCGAGCGAGGGCGCGAGTTGCAAATGCGACGGCTGTTTCCTGTGCCGTAGATCCTGAATAGAGATCAGTGCACGTGGCCCCCAGACGATAAATGCATGGTACAGGAAACAGCCGTCGCATTTGCAACTCGCGCCCTCGCTCGACAAGCAATTTGCATAAACGCGACGTCACAGCTTGAGGTCATCTCTTGTCACATTCAAAATGGCTGCCATCACCAGACGTTTCACAAGTGCATATGGGCTCCAGAAAGATTCAAGAATATCTTGGAAAATTGAACATCATTACACCCAAGCATCCCAGAAGTGAAAGTTGGGACATCGTAGAATATAACCATATGTAAGAAATTCGCTGTTGAAATTATGAAAACGTCCTCAGTAGTGCGCAGACCACGGTGTGTGGCCTTGGGTTCAGCGCAGCATACCGACGGCCACACTAGTGGGGCTATACCTGGGCTGGCTCCAATCGTAGTTGGGGCTGGTTCCAACTGCGACGGAGTAGGGAAATCCCAAAATTAAACCTGCTGATATTCAAGAAGGTGAAATTACCAACTGTTCAGATGTGCCAAGAAATATTGGCGATCGTGAAGTGTAGGGCCCGGTCCCTATAAGGGAACAAAATCCACTTTAGAGTTATTGGACCTACCAAACTAGTTGGCGACATTCTCAATAAACAGGTATTTCATAGATAGAGGGCAGGGTTTTGATCTTTTGAGGGACATTTGGGGGTAAAATGACGATGACAGCACGGCGAAAACACGCGACCCGAAAATAAAGATGGCGATCACCGCGCGATGCACCGTGAGCACGCACGGCGCGCTGTATCGCAAGGCACCAACCGTGCAGGAAAATCGTGATTTCTACCCCAAGAATCTGTTCAAAATTGCAAAACGGGTGTCATTAGAATTGAAAAAAGTCTGCTTTTGATTGTAAAAGTGATTTTTGAGCAATAAAAAAAATGTTTTACTCTAATTTGATCAAAATAAAACAGGGGCCCTACACTACTTCACGATCGCCGAAATGTCAGAATGTCACTTTTGAGTGTCATTTATTCAGTTGTTTTGGTGAGTCTTTTAGTTTTACCTTATATAGGAACGGGGTCCTATTAAAGATAAGGATTACCAATGGTTCTTGAGTCTGACGTGCTGAATGGCAACACATACACGACATAGCAACCGATGAAATGAAAAAAAAAAATGAAATTGTTTTCAATCGGTCATTTCTTTTTCATGATTTTGTCGGTTGACTCCGCCCCGATCTATTGCTTATTTCCGACTTTACTAGCGCCAAACCATGATAAAAGCATTTTACAAAAGACGACCAGATAGCAGAAAAACCTACCGCGTTCAGCTGCAACCTTTGAGAATGAGAAATTGTCCCCAATTTTCTTTTTTATATCAATGACGGAATGAAATGGAAGTGGAACCGAAACTTGCTGGTGGCCATCTTTGCCCTCCTGTCTAAATTAGAACGCTGAGGGCGCTGTTATTTGTTATGATTTGCACGTCGCAGCGGCGTGGGCGTGTCGCATATTATGTCTGTGGTCGCAGGGCGCCTCGTAAAGGGCGTGTCTGTGTGTAAAGATATCGGGAGGGGACCCGAGTGAAATTACATTAGCCAAAAGTAACTGTTCATGCCAAAAAATCAACAGTCTAAAAGTCCTGCTTTTTTTTCTTTTACTGAATCCTTAAACTTTAAGTGAAACCCTCACAATTAGATTGGTTCCCGGTCCATCATTGTCCTAGGGACTTCGAATGTAGGGTACTAGTCTACCTCAGAACTCGAGATGACTGTGGGTGCATCCCTGCAATAAAACACTAGAGCTATATGCCAATACTTCAAAATTCTTTTTAAAATACTCAGAACTCGCACAGGTATTCAAGCTGCGCAGGAAAAATGATGATCAACATGTCATCTTTCATTTTCTTTTCATTTTTTTTTAGTGGGTTGACCATTGACTTTTCGAGGAATTCTCACTCAAAGACGATGACCCCTATTTTCCCCAAAGCGGAAAATTAGCCATCTTCAAAAACGATCCCTCCACAACATGGCAAAATAGTGCCACTTTCGAGCCCAATTGCATCCAAAAATGCTCAAAATTGGAAGCCCCAAGTCCGGGCCAGAGGTTCATTGCCATATCTCTTCTCTTCCTCAAATTTGTCGCTCTTGGAACTCTCTAATATAGAATATTTTGAGGCATTCATGAGCTCGGCGGATGGGTTTAAGCCTATTTACCGCTTTGCACCCTTGTATTGCCTGTTTTCACTTATTTTAAAACACGCAGACAGTACATCTAAATAGACACACTTATCTTACAAAAGTCATATCTTACAGATATGTACTGTTCTTGTTTTTCAACAATTACTTCCTAGCGAAATTTGAATTTGTGTGTTTTATTGTAAGTGTTCAAAAATACTGTTAATCCCTCGTTCCCACCACCCTATCCCTGGGTTATTGGGAGGGGGGGGGGGGCGAAATTCTCACACCCTTCCCAGTCACTAAATAAAACACACTACCGCCCTCTATTGAGAGAGGGCGTGCTTCAATAGCTCTGCTGAACACTCACAATTTCAAGTTGGATTCAAAATCAAGTGGCATCCCAAATTTGGGATGCAAGCCTTCAACTTTGCACTCAGATTTTCACTATAAAAAGGACAAACAGATGTCATTCATGTTTCAATTACAGGCCCTACTTCTTTTGTGGTACTTTATTATGATGATTCACACACAGACTATAGTTGACTTAACGCCATAGACTAACAGTCAACATCATTGTCCGAGAGTGCGGGGAAACGAGTTCTGATAAGAAGGTCAACAAAAAAGTTCAAAGTTTTTCACAGTGTTATGACAACCTAGAGATCCGTGCTGATTGGAACTCTCCATAATAAAAACCATACCGCCCCACACATCCTAGCCCCCCTTCAAATAATACCCCAACATACAAATAGGCACTTAGCTTGCCCTTGGAAAATATTTGCTTAAATCTATTTTCTTTTGCCCGACCCTTTTCCACATTCTTTGCACGGCAGCAACTTTATCTCTTATACAAATTCTCACCAGTCCCCCCAGGTGAAAGACGATTGCGTCCCGTGGTGCTTTTGTGACGGGCCCCGCTTAATGCGCCGTGCCCAACAACAGCTGATTGCGCCGTTTCAATGGGAATATTATTTTCAGATATTCTGAACTTTGAGCCGAGGCGCTTTATTATTGTTGTGTAGGGCCGAAAGATGCAACATTATTCCCAGCTGTACCATATCGTTGAATGGTGGTTAGTATACTCTTGTGTGCTATCTGAGACCAGGAGTCAATCACACTGGAGATTAGCCTCTGTCGGTTCGCACGCTGGGTAAACCTAAACTCTCAACCACTAACGAGGACAACTTTATAGATTTTTTTCACGCCAGGAGTTGACAACGAACGACATAATCACCTTTAATTTGCTGGAACGACTGGTCGTGACGCAGTGCATGCAGTGATCTATTTGCCATTGCGCTGTATAGAAACTTACAAGAGAATATTACTCCTGAGGAATTTGTATACCTGAACAGTCTTCCTTACAAAACAGCCATGACGAACCAAGCTGGGTAAGTAATTTTCCTACACTTAAAAATAGATCTTACTTTCTTCTTTCTTTGACTATTTTTCCAATCAAAATTAGAAAATGTCCTGTAACAGATCTTCAGGTATAAATATCATAAGTCATAACCTTTAAAGTGTCTTCTGGAGAGAATTTAAAGATAACATAAAACGGATAGCTAAGGTTGAAAATGAAGTCTTTTTGTTGTCTCTGTATACTGGTAATCGATTATTGGGATCACTAATCAAAAATGTCGACTGCTGTTCAATGATTCTACGCATAAAATAATAGAATCACCATAAAAGAAGCACCACAGAACTGTTATAGAACCGTTCACAGTCCATAGTCATAGACTTCAATTCATTAATAGTGTTTAAAAATGTGTTGCATTATTATTTGTCGAAAGGTGTTGTTTCTCTGAAAATGCAAACACTTCTGATTGTGGTCTGAGAAGAATTGACTTATATCTTTAATTAACCTATCGGGGTAACGTACACGATTCCGTAGGGTTGTCTTACGGGCGTGGCTAACTCGCAAACGGCGATATACGTTAATTTTGCCTCTTGACAATTTATTTGTAAACAACATTGTAAAAGGATTGTATTAAAGGAATCAAAATAGACTATGGAACATAGCTTCTTTTCTATTCATGAGTGAATCAAAGAATCATGACCAATACATTTTTTTTTGCAAACATTTTGCAAAAATCCACGAGAATTGTGCAAAAACACGTGTTTGTTATGACAGAATAATAACTGAATGGAGGTGACAACTTCGTAAAATAAAAATGTCCTTTTAAAAAAAAATTCCCGGCAATATTGGGTTGCCTAATTGCGTACACGATTAAACTACGCGCTGTTGAGATTGTTCGAGTTTCATTTATACAGGTTATAGGCCTGATACATTTATTCCATGGTTCGTTCAAGGCCTTGACCCTGAATTGATCATGCCTAACCATTGCGGAAAATATCTTCCCTATATTTAATATTTGATCCGTGAGACGATGAGGAAGCATATTACAGGCCTAATTAAGCATGCACGTCACGCCGCAAACTGTCGTGCTTGCCAACTGGAAAACCATTTCTAAGCCTACGTTCATTGTCCAAAAGCCATACCCCGCAGGCAACTGCGCGCAGGGGCAGGCATTATTCTATTGAGAACTTTTTTTGCTAGTAGTGGTGCTGGAAGTTTGTAAGTCACCTTACGTGTTTTAAAAAAAAATGACCTAGAAAAACAAGTTGCGTACTGGTTTGCATGTTGTTCAATTTACTTGAACTTGGTCACCTGCACACTACTATAATTCGGACAACATCATTTTGAATATAATACAATGACAGTTGAATACACGTAAGTTATCAGCAATGAAATGAAAGTTAATTCTAAATAAATGTAACAATCTACTCTGATGAATAATTAGGAAAATGTGATTAAGCATATCCTAAAGTTTTAAGCCACATTATAAAAACAAACATTGAAAGCGAGGCGTGCATAAAATAGTCTGGCACCATCCCATTCAACAGCTTACAATGTATAAAATAGACTCAGGGAACACGATCAAGCTTCCTCGTGGTTAAGGTTATTATTGATTCTGACGTATTCGGCAATATCTGATTACACGTTTCTTAACAATCTCATTTTTGGATGTGGGTCATTGAAAAAAAAAAGTTCTTGCGAAAGTGACAAGGTTAAACCGCAAATTCCAGGCATAGCATATTTTCTATTAAACTAACCATGGATCACTATTTGGAGGTATCCGCCTATTTGGAGGTATCCGTCACAATAGTCTTCAACGGTATTGGAGAACGACAACGCGAACAGTTGCGAATAATTCATGACGAATGTGTCTGCTTATTTACGCTCCATTTTTTGAACGTCTGTATTACAGGAAATCCGCATGATGACTTACATTATTACATAGAAAAATGTCGACGAGTCCTGTTCGTTCACATATCTGACGCAGAAGCATATTGCCTATACGTATTAAGCTATGTCGAATTATGAGGAAAAAACGTTCAATTGCTGACTGGCGTCGCATACGATGCTTGCAAAACAAGTGGCAATTCCGCGGCCGGGAATCATGGCCCAACAATCTAAACAAGTGCGAGTGCAAAATAAGCTCTGGCGAAAAGTGCGACGCCGATGGCACATATGAAACACCATACTTTGTGTCCGTTTTGAGGACCTTTCCTCCTTCTGGAGGTCCAACCACTCCACAAAATGGCGTCCACCTTGTCCGACCAGGAAGATGTTGTACAGCGCCTGTGCGAGTGCACGATAAGCTCTGGCCGTGTTGCAAGGAGTCTTGCAAGAAAGTCTTGCATGAAATCGATCAAAATGATAGTTATCATGCCCCTAAGCTGGTAGAAATAGGTAGTGGCCATAATGGTACTCCTAGGAGGATACAAAAAAGTGCGAGTGTACAATAAGCTCTGGCCGTGTTGCAAGAAGTCTTGCATGACAGTCTCGCATGAAATCGATCAAAATGATTTCTGCCAGAGCTGATTAATAAGACGCCGAAAAATGCAACGCGCATGGCACATATGGAACACCATACTTTTGGTCAATTTTCCGGGGACAGACAGACTGACCGACCGACCAACCACCAAGTGACGTGGTAGAAGCTCCTACCAGAACTGAATAAGAGCAAGTGAAGCCTCGTTTTCGAAAAGATGCATGTGAGACTTGAATCAAGACTAGTACTCCTGCGGCTCAATTTCAGAGGGCCACATTTTTTTAAAGAACTTAAAGCCAGCGTGCATATATTATCATTATTTCATGGTTAGGGCACATTGCAAATAAAATCGCCTCAAAAATGCAAGAGGCAAAATGAACGACTTTCGCATAGGCCGTGGCAAGTTCACGGACCAATTCCTGTAGTTTCCAAAGTTTTTTTTTCTTCCTTAATTGAAATTCAGGATTTGCCACTAAGTTGCTAAACCAGCCTCGCAAATGATCATTGTACTCTCACCTGCGCAAATGCATCGAGTCGGAAAAGAATTCAAACTCAATCAATCACTGCCAGCCACCAGTCAGCCAGCCATCCATCATTAATTGTATTCAAGCAACGAGTGAATTCCATAAGTCTCCATTGTTGAGGATGGGCTTTTGTTTGCCAAGTTCGGGTGCATTATGGAGAATCCCTGCACGTATTGCACGTAACTCACGGGACTCAACTTTTAATCACTGTTTACTCTGAACGCATCCTGGAAACGGTGAAAATCAACAAGTGTATATAATTATACTGTGGACGAAATTTTAAGGTTTGTCTTTCTGTACAGACGTGGCAACTTTTTAAATGAACGAGCTCGATCGGATCAGGGAAGCCAACGAGTTCGTGTTCATGCATGAGTCACGTGATTGTGCCATGTAATTTTCTGGAAGGAGTAGTGTTTTAAGTTGAAAAAAAAAATTCAGCTTTTTGACCCTCAGTGACCCCATGATGACCTTGGTCATGTGACTAGCTGGGGCCGGGCTACTGATGCTTTTGACAAAGTTCGGTTAAAATCCGTCAAAATTATGTAGGAGCAATAGACAAGGTCAATTTTTGTTATTAACTAACAGAGAGGCACGATGATTTGCCGTAGCTACAAATACAACTCGTAAATATCAAACAGCAGATTTGAAGAATATGACTGTATTTTACTTGACCCCCCCCCCCAAGTTTTCAAATGTACTAAGTCCATTTCAAAGAAATTCTAAAACACAGATACCTATAGCTTTTACAAGTACATGTATCTATACAATTTGCCTTAAAACACAATCACGAAAACCAACTGGCTCATTTTACATAGGGTCTAATGCTTGATAAACTAGTCATAAACGCTACAAATATAAAGTCCCCGTCTATGCTTTGTAAAAAAAAAGCGAAGGAGGCGGCCTTTTCTTTCCCACCACAGATGCTGGATTTTCCAAAATGGCGGAAGGATTCTTCCATTCAGTTCTCGACTCTTTTGCTGATACTTTTGTGTCCAAAGGAAAAAACGAACATGATACTATATGAACTTGCATACATAGCCTAAAAGTAAATATTAAGACCAAATGTATATTGCAAATAATATATTGCAAGGTTGCCGGGCAGAGAAACTAGCTTTTTTAACACTAAATCACAATGTCTCCAGCCATGAGCTGTATTTTGATATTACACATCAAGAGTAAATAGACCATACAGTTACTTTTCAACGAGTTCTTCAACGCAATGTTATTCCAACGCACACATACTACGTGTATGTTATGGTTGGAAGGATGGATCAAATCATGAGCAATGGTTCGGATATTTTGGCAAGGGAACTCCCTCAGTATAGACAGACTTCAAAAATATTGATAACAATGTTCCTCTGTACATTTTTTTCTCTCAATCACAACCACACAGACATGTATTTCCTTTAGGTGTACGTGTCAAAAGGGTTTTTGAGGGCTTCGCTTTCCTCACAGTCGATTTACCGAACTGAAAAGAAGGGCAATGGGTAGCAAAGAGCTCTGAAAGACCCCCGTGCGAGTCTCTACCGGTACCACTGATCCAGACGGATTTGTATCGGGGTCCCGTCTTCGCTTCCCACGATCTGCCACATCGCTCGGTGCCAAGGTTGCTCGGGCAGGCGGCTTCTTTGTGGAAATTTGTTTTCACCTTGTCGTTCTAGGAAAAAAAAAAATGTTTCCCTGCGTTCAATTTAACGGTAAACGCTATGTGCGTATGTCCTTTGAGTATACAAAAAGCTCCATTTCACGGACTCTGCACCCATAAAGGGTATGAGAAGTGAATTTTTTTTAGAAACATTTTTTGTGTGCAACTTTCTGTTCCTCTTAATCGCATGCAAACATTTGACATCCCTTTTTGGGGTTGATTTTATTGAAAAGTGCACTTCTGTCAACATTTAAAAAAATGTCCATGCTTTTCCGGACAACTGAGGGCGCTGTTGCTGTGATGTCATTTCAGGAAGACACTGTTCAGTTTAGAGGTAGTCTGTTCAAATTGTGTACCCAAGAAACTGTAGACAGCAAAATATCTAAAACTCTGGAAGCTTTTAGGTGCTGAAATAGCTGCAGCATTGAGGATTCTGCCTGAAATGACACTTGTGCTCATGAGTATGGAAAATCGCATTACAATAAAAACTAAAAAGGCACCAATATACCCTTGAAAATGGCAAAACGAAAAGTCAAAACGTTGTGCCAATTACAAAAAAATCTTTAACTAATTTAATTTCAAACTGAAACATGTTGCAAACTAGGGGAAACTGGGGAAACAAACTAAATAAGTTTTCCATTCCCCCTTCAAACCTTCTTTAAAACCTTTTTGACCTCATTTTCAAAGATTCAGAAACGAGTGTTGAATGAGTCAGCAAAGATCAAGTATTCGACAAGATTTACTTGGACAAGTTGTTGTTTCAAATTAAACGAATAAATTCGGTCAATCTCGATCAAATTCCGATTTCATTTTGCACGTAGGCGCTTTTTTATAGTGTTATCAATAACGCATCCATCATCACCAACTCGCCTCGGCTTGTTTGATTTTTTGTTCGAGTCAATAAATTGTCGGTGACAACACGTATACTGACACAAACTGCATTGTCACTGTCGATGACCCCAGATTCGCAGATGAAAGAAAAAAAAGGGAGAAAATACAAGACAATTATAGTACCGGCCAGCAGCGCCAAAAACCCCCAATCGTTTCTGTAGATTCATTGTGCCAGTAAAAATGGGTGTTCGGATCAACAAGGACACGATGTAATTCAGTGTTGTTCATTATAGCAAGCCACACGAGTAGAGGAACTTATGAACAAATTACCAAACAATGTGTTCCGAAAGAATGTCCTTCCTTGTTCTGATATTGGCAGCCAGATTTCTAAAAACACCGTTTTTCTTTGAGTGACTGTTTTAATATACACCAAGAGTTGATAGAGTTGCCATTTAATTATCAAATTACCAATTAATCTTCTTCTTTTTTCAATCTTCAGTATAGGACATAAGGCTATGAGATGTTTGTAAGGTCGTGTTACATTGTTACTTTCACAGGACATAATTTATATCCTTGCCAGTTCTTTCCTGGAAGCCGATGAGTTTTCTTTGAAACGATTTTAGATATGCCAACTCAAGTGTTTTGAAACAGCTTTAACTTTGACCGCGCGCATATTGGTGCGAGGGGTATAATTTTAGCACAGTTATCAAACACGTGTCAATGACCTCAAACTATAACCTTGAATCAAGGCTCAATTTTCTTTTCGACCAAACTTTGTCTACTACATTCTCACCACCCCCCGCCCCCCCCCCCCCCCCCCCCCCCAAAAAAGAGACCCACGAGAATTCCAAAAAATAACTTTCGGTCACATTCCTCGTAAATTATTCAGCGCCACAATCTAAAGAAATCCCAGCTGAGCTCCTTTGTCAGAATGAATTTTCAGCCAAATTACCCACCTCTCACCTGCACCATAAACTGTGCCCATCGAAACACGTACAGTAATCAGATTACAGGTTCACTATAGATTAGGTTTACTTATATTGTATTCATACGCCAAGAGGAAAAGTAGTCCAGTAACAAAAACATCCAAGAAGTACCAGATGTGTAATTCTTTTATGTTCTCTGAAATGCTCTGGTACAGAAACCTTTCATTAAACACGAACAAAATCTGTACGTTACTTAAGCTATTTGTTTTTCATACTAACGATCATTCACAATTGTTTGCTGATTTGTAAGATTCTCTTTCTGTGTTTTTTTGTTATAGTCAAAAGGACGAGAGCTTCTTCAAGCAGCTGTGGGCCAATTTCACAAATATCCTTCCGTTTTCAAGTGAGTCGAACTTGTTTTAAATTTCTGGCAGAACAAAAATCTGGCCTGTCCTACGCCAGACCTTTTGTTGTTCGAAGACATTGTACCCCAGAATTGTTTTATTCGTTGTAAACGTTTTGGACAAAATGATCGAAGGTTTTTGTTAACCTTTACCGTAGAATGTATCCTTCCTCAACCCAAACACTTAAACATCTTTTCCATTTTAATTTGTCCACACATTCAACAATATGTTACCACATTTAAGCCATTCAATACACCCAGTGCAGAGCTGGAACTGAGAAAACCGTTTGTTGAAAGTTGGCAACACGTGACCACAATGTCCAATTTTGTAAACAGATGTCACGTGGTCTATAGTTGTAATCTCAAGGCGGCCATCTTTGTCTGATCTCGCGACTGCGTTGAGTTCGATTATAGTCGCCATATCACCGCATCCTTGGTACCAACCTACTTCGGTCATGTATGTGGATGTCCGAAACGGATCTTCGAATCTGTTATCTTAATGATCGCCTTTACGTAATTTTATTGTTGAAAAGTTTTGATTATTCTTACAATGCATTATTATTATTACATTACTTTACCCAGGGTATGCCCAAACAGTTTAAAACTGGTTTCCATTGGGGCCCTGCACTTCAAATGATTATGCACACATGTACAAATACAAAACAAATGGTTTAAAGAAAATGTTATTATATTTAAAGCCCCATTTAGGACCATTTGCAAAAGTAGGCCTACCTATGGTGAAAGTACCTGTGATGGGGATATTGTGGTGAAGTACTAATTCATCACAGAAACCTTCCTCAAAGTGAAGATATAGGACAAGTATCACATACCATGTGAAATTATTCTGCCTGAAATGTTTCGTTTGAAACTTTGAAGGTGGTTCAAATTAGACAGAAATCCAGTTACACGACCCAAAAAAGTATGCATACTCTGTATAGTATCTAATGAGATGAAACTTAACGGGTTAGAATTTGATCAATTTTGTTGCTTCAAACAAAAAGAATGCACACAAAGGAAATGATATATATAAATATACCTTCAATATTTATGCATGATGGGTGGTGCCTTGAAAGCGCAAGCATGCAGTCAAAAAGACGCCATCTTTCAGCGACGCGAGATTAACATTGCTATAAAGTTCTCAGGGGGACGATTTCAGCGTTACGGCATGTTTCGGGCCGTCGTGGTCCCCAAGAAATCGCCCCAGAGGTTAATCATGCCATCAGCGCTCATCAGTTTGGAGGGGGAGATTTCAGTTTGGCCAGGATCGTTCATGGTTGCCGCAGAAAGGAGGGTCTAGAGCTTCAGATGTCTTTTACTATAACAGAGTCGCGGTTTGCATTTTGGAAGGTAACGGTTGTTCTTGCAGCCAAGGAATCAGTTCTGGGATTGATCCACGACATTATTATTATTATTATTATTTATTCGGCCAACAAATGAACAAAAGTACAATGACAAAGCAAATATAAATCAGAAAGTAAACAAAAAATAGAAATTGAAAAGTAAGAACAGACGAGACTAAAGACTGATGCGAGTAGGAATGGGTTGGAGGGGGAAGGAGGGAAGGAAGGGAGGGTGGACAGTTTGACAGGGGAGAGGAGATAGAGGGACGGAAAACAAAAACAATATAACATTTCAAACCGGCCAGGGTAAACAAAAGTGTACTTAAACACTGTAGCCCTAAGGCCTGCCTACCCATGCTCGAAATGTCTACACAGAAAATAAATAAATGACGGGTCTCATGCAGTCATGGCCTTGATGAAACAATTTGAACACCGACAATCAAACTATACTTTCACTAAATTACCCGAAGACCTGATAATCTCCTGATGTATTCAGGTTTTTCCACGTCCAAAAGAAATACTCCACAAATGGTAGTGCAAAATAGACCTGAAACATAATGACGTCACGCTTGTTTACATGTGCACCTTCTTATGGGAGCTTTGGTGGTTCTTGTCCAAACCTGGCTCCCATAGGAAAGCGCACGACGTGTAAACAAAGCGTGACGTCAATAATGATTCAGAGTTATTATTCCTTCGGTTGAAAACCCAATAATTTGTTAACCCTTTCCAGAATTTTAAAACACTCTGTGTGCTAATACACCGGTCTTACGAAACAGGAAAAGAGGACTTGTCATGCCTAGTTCCGGGGGGGGGGGGGGACCAGGCGGCGGGATCATTCCACTCTTAAACTTTCTCGAACTGCAGTTTCTCAAAGGCAGGCGCTAACGGTAAACATACGTAGCCATCTTAAACATGAACCCTGTAACCGAGCAATGGGTGACAACTGACAAACCGTGACGTCAGGGGTACCCGCCTATACGGGTGACCTATGCGTATCTTTGTAGCTAGCTCGTTCCTCCTTACATGCCTAAACAAAACTTAAAAATGCCCTTCAAGCACAAGCCATACTGCGAATGTATCCCTCAAACACATTTTTGGCTTGATAACAACAATTGTGATACCAAAACAGGAGGACTTCTCACCAAAAAAGGGGGAATTTAAAATAATGACAACATTAATACAACGAGGCAGCATGCCAGATGTGTACCAGGGCCATAATTATCGACCGCTCTCCCCTTTGGCATGATCCCGACTCCGACTCATTCATTCCGATTCCTCCGTCAAGTTCGCTTCCTTTTCCGCCTTCGCGCCGTCATGTTTAGGGCATTCGTGTGTTTTAGCAGTTAACCCGAAACAAAGGAAGCGATTTGTCTTCCCGGAGGAGCCGATGACAGGCGTCTTTTCGTGTAAATATACCAAGTCGATCTCGCCGCACGCAGCAGGGGAGCAAAGCCTCCGAGTTTGCTCCAACTCGTAAACTTTTCTCGGCTTTTTTTTTTTTTTTTAAATACAAACCAGCGTCTACAATGTTTATAATATTTGACCCTTGGGCTGCCTCAATACACACAGGCCCTTTACCCCTTTCCAGGACGGTAAATGGTTGGGTAAATTTTGTAGGCAAGATTGTATTCGTTGCGCCACTGCGTGGTTTGTCTTCAAGTTGTAGGCCGAAATCAGCACCACGCTGCTCGGAATCTGACCCACAAAATTGCGAAACAGCATCGGAATTCTTAGCTGTATTACTCCGCTGACGCAGCCAAAACTTGGGTCGGAGTTGCTGAGGGGTTGGAAGTTGAGGAAAAGGGCTTGGGGGTCTACTGACCATAATTCGCCTGGAGTGGGTACCGGGAAGACGGGACGTGAAGGAACGGCGATGGGGCTGTGTACGCCTTGCTTTCCTGCGCGGGGCAAGCAGATCGCACCAGGTAAATATCCACACTCTTTCTGTACTCGTCAAACAACAGGTGTGCACTGCGGATCTCAAAACAAAAATACTAAACACAAAATAAAACCGTGGTTTAATTTACATTTCAACGTGCATATATAGCCAACCTGTAGACCTCACCTGTGCCGATAGTTCAGCAAACTCGCGGCCTCAAAGTAGGAGTTCATCACATTTTCGTAGGAGGAGGAAATGTGATCCTCTCGGGAACATAATACGAAGAGTTGAGAACATCGCGTAAATCTCGCATGAAATTTTGCCTGACTACTTGGCCCGGGATAAATTTACTCAGAGTAACGCGCATGCGTGAATTCGGCATGAATACCATGCAGAAGGGTGGGTTTGAGGACGCATGCGGAGTTGGTTCGAGGGGCATCCAAGCACGGTGGTAATTCCAGCACAAGTCACACGAACCCAACTCTATACGGGACTTGATCAGGACACCTCGAAGTCATAAAGCTTGTACACTTACACGGTCCAATTCAGATCCAAATAGCAGCGGTGGGCGCAACCTAATCTCGTCAACTCACCCAGAACGACCCGTTGAGGGCGCATAAAGTACTCAAAACCTCACCATATGTGGCTTAAGTTTGTTATACCATATACGAACTACAAATTGTCAGAAAGGTTTTCAGGTATTTCGACAGGCTTGAAATTCCTTTGGATCTGTGGGGTCCTACGATCCATTTTTAATGGATTGAGTTTTGATCTAAATAAATCATACGTGCGCCTTTGACAAGTGGTCACGGTGTAGTCAATATGCTTCGAGTGTTGTCCAATCAGATGCCGTTTGTTTTGTGAATATTCATGTTGTGAAATGTTGGCTGATCTGTTGTATTGAATAATTGCATATCAATATCTGATGATGTATTGTGTCACACACTGCGAATAACTGCATTAGGATCGATTAAAAAATAATGATTAGGCCTAATCTTTAATTTAACACTGGATGTATATGTCGGCGCGTATTTAGTCGTCATCTGGCATGTCGGAGTTCTGCAAATCGAAAAACAAACGAGAAACTCAACGTTGAAATGAAATGTTCCAGTTATATACAAATACTATACACATTTCTACCAATGAGCTTTCGATAATTCCAGTTAGATGCAAAATACTGTACACATTTATCCAATGGCGTCTCGACATTTAAACTTATCTGTCATTGGTCAAAATACAACAGACGGCGCAGGGACGTCACAAAGTTATACTCTTTCAGCACATCAACACGGCTGAATCTCAAGCGCTGCACGATCGGTCATGCACTCTTCTAGAGGGGAAAAAAAGAATGGAAAATCTGGTTCGGATTAAGAAAAGATGTTTACTTAATCCCAAGGCATTGAAGTGAAATCAAAGATTACCTCCCGATGTTTTTATAGGGCAGTCCGTGGGAGGACCCCTTTTCGATGGGCGTGGCCCAGAAAAAAAGGCAAACAGCAGAGACATCTTTCAAATCGTTCTCATGAAACATTGAAACATCGCGTGGAAAGCGACTCCGTGCCAACTGGCCACCACGTGTACAGCTGGAGAAACAAAACTGCAGTATTACAAACATCCCCAAGCTCATCACGTGGAGAGCAAGAAGCATTGAAACCTCTTTTATATTTTGCACGAAAAAAACAAATTGTGACATTTTACAGCTGCCTTCTTCTTTTTGATAGCAACCAGATTTTATTTGTAGTCTGCAGTCACTCCAGAGTATCAGATATCGTAAATATGAT